AAAAGCAACTGTTTCTGCTCCTACAACAACTCTGGTAAGTTTGCATAGTCAGTGCTAACACATTTGGAATTTGAAATCTGGTCTACTATGGACTCGATAGTGGCATCTAACTGATCAGTTGCTAAAATCCAATTTGTCATAGTCACAATCAGTTATGGATGGTAGCAAATCCAATATTAACTATATTTTGTTTTTTATTATCGACTGTCTGCAGTGGAGCAAGACTTGCTTGACTGATATCAATTTAGTGCCAATATGAAGGTAATTACATAAATGTGGTAATACTCCTGAGACCCCAGTGCCAATCTTATTGTTTTAATGTTGTGCATTGGGAAAAGATTAGGATATATCATTTAAAATAACATTTCCAGACCTGAATTGATATATTGTAGATCTCATTTTACTATTATACATCTTGGAGTATAGATTGACAAGGTAGAAAAATGATTTCCTTGTTATAAAACTAAATGTTTTGCCCAGCAGCTAAATTACAATCTGGTTGTTTTTAAAATTGGTTCCATACAGGTTGATTTTTCCAATGACATTCATTTCAGCAACTATTTAATGAGTGGCTACTATATGCAGGTCTTACTGTAGGGCTGCCCCTACATAGTTAGATTAAGATCAAAGTGTTTTTTCTTTCTAATTTTAATGTGATTTCACATAATGAGATTTTCTCCGAGAAACATTTATTCAGCAAATATTTAGTGAGTGTCTTCTGTTTGTAAGTCACTGTGGGAATGTTCTCCCTCTAATAAAAATATTGGGGTGATCATTTTGCATGAGTACCATGAGCAAGTACACGAATAACACTTGTAAAGTCTGAGAGAATGTATATTTCCTTTTATCATAATATGTGGACAAATGAAACTCAAAATGTAGCTAATCTGATATCTCTGTGTACATATGTATATGTGTTTGTGTGTATACGTATGTGTATGTATGTGTATTTATAAAATCATTGTGTTTCATGGTACTTCATAAAAATGTTAAGCAGAAATGGTTTCTCTCTTTTTACTATGCTAGATTTCCATTTTCTGTAATTGGCATCAGTAAATACAATCTTTCTTGCTACCAGGCATAAACTGTTGAGGATAGAACTAAGATAAATAGGTAGAAGTTAGGGAGCCGGAGTTTGGAAGGAAGAGTTTATAAATATGGCCATCCATATCTGGGCATGCCTTATAGGTTATTTTGCCTCTAGAGTAGTCATGAAGAGATTGGGTGAGTTCGTTAGAGAATTCCAGCATTAGGGAATACACTTTCTTCTCTAAAAATAAGAGAATAACAATGTATGCAATATAATTTAACTTAAAGTTTATAATGACTTTTGAAAAACTCTGAGATAAAGTGTTACAAAACCGAGGTTGATACATAATGGCTTAAATGAACTCTTTCCACTCTTTATTGATTTAGATGCCCTTTGAAGTGGGACTTCCAGTATCTTAATTTTTTTCCTGGTATTTAGTAGTCATAATGTGCTAATTAATTGACTTTTATTACCTTAAACACAAGTGACCTGAATTAAATCTTATTCCCCTAAGATTTTCCTATGATTTCTTTTTAAACTCTTCATATTTACACACACACACACACACACACCCCTACATATGAAACAGTAAATGTTATTGTCCTTACTTTAAAATATTTTATTTTATTGTTTCCTAAGGATTTTGTGATTTAGTAATCCTATACTATACTACTAACCCTAATTAATTTTTGGATATTAAAATGGTCTGCTAGCTTTTCTTATCTCCTAAAACACTTTATTTGCTTGTGTTGGAAATATTGAAAGACCCAGTTAAAAAATTAAATATTGTATTGGCTATACCATTAATGAAATCGTGTCCTTTAGTTCATAATAATTGTGAGGGTTGTTGAAAAAGAATGCCTGTAAAATAAACTATTACATAGTACATACAGCATAATAATTCTGAAGAAAGTGTGTGTGCAATTTTGTTTTTAAATGTGAAAAATATTTCATTACAGAAATTATTACCAATTTGTGGGAATTTTATGGATGTTTAACATATTAATATATTAAAATACTGTGCTGCATTCTAGAAGTGAAGTCAGATTTCCACGGGTGAAGTGTTATCTGAGGATCATGTGTCTCACATTATAATCAAATTTTACATGAGGGGCACCTAGAATTAGAAATAGCTGCAGTTGATTTATAGTGTTGCCACTAACAAAATATTGAAATTATTTTACTAAAATGAATACTGTTGGTAGTTTGGTTTATAAAGTCTGACTTCAGGTGATTAATTTATAATATATTCTCTTCAGCACCAGGATTAAAAGATTTCTCTGTTAAATGATTGCAGCATAATAAAATCAAAACATTCTATTTATAGTTACTGTATATTTTACTTTTCAGAAAATGATGAAGGAATGTATGGTGAGACTTATATATTGTGAAATGCTTGGATATGATGCTTCCTTTGGCTACATACATGCAATCAAGTTGGCACAACAAGGAAACCTTTTAGAAAAAAGAGTAGGTATGTATGTGTTTAAGACTTTTATGTTTAATATTGTCCTTAAAGTTCCAGCTACTATATAAAAATGAATGATGACAGGTATATATGTTTTTAGAACACTGCCTTGTAATTTCCAAAGCTTTAAAAGATAATAGTACTTCAGAAACTCAAAGCCTATAAATGAAATCAGTTTTCCTGATTCATAGCATTTTGGAGGTAAAGAGATTAAAAATTACCTATTCTTATGATAGTGGTTAGATAACTATATATTATTTTTCAAAACTCATTGAACTATGCACTTAAAACGGGTGAATTTTCTTTTATGTAAATTATACGTTAGTAAAGCTGATTTTAAAAAGTCTGTCTAACCTCATCAGTTTAATGATCAGAAATGTTTCTTTAATGGAATAAAGCTGAAAATTTTCAGACTTGAGTAATTTTAAATATCCTATTCTCAGTTTCACAAACGTTAGCTATGATCAGAGGCATCTTTTAAAATTTTTGTCTCTGTAATCAAACTTTAGAGCTATTAGGAAAAAATTCTTTCAAGGAGTTAAATCTTCTATTCATATAGATTCAGCTTTATATCAGAATCCTAAGAAAAAAGCATGTTAGAATAATATAGGGGTAGAACATGTTCTTTATTCAAAAGAGTTGAGAGTGTCATATTGTCACGGACCAGTATATTTCACAAGTTACATTGACCTGTGCTGTCAGATGACAGGATTGGAGTGGAAGAAGTCTTGGTAAATATTCAGAGACTATATGCACATACGTTTTGAACCTCACTCCACCCAAAATATTCTTCCAGCTTCTAGATTTGTTTTATTCTACCTTCCAAGGAGAATGCCTTCTGGCATCCTGTCTCTCCCTTTCCACATTCCAAATCAAGTTTTAACTCTTCTGTGATCATTCAGGTGGCTCCTACTGTTATCTTATGGTATTGCCTTTTCATGTATTAATGCCTTAGTTCCTGAACTAATTCTAAGATCCCTGAAGGCAGGAAATTTTGAAAACAACAGATAGTCAATAAATATTAGATGGTTGGTGGTATAGTTATTTTGTACAACTGTTGCTATGTTCTGCTTCTTAGACTTTGATGTAATTTTTTCATTTCCAATTTAATTTTACTTTTAAAATATGTGAAGTGTTACTTGGTTTAAAAGTTAAGACCTTATGAAAAGGTATAATCAGAGAAGTCTTACTTTCATCTCTAGCCATTATACCCAGTTTTTTTCCCTTACCCCTACAGGTAACTAGTTTCAGTAGTTTCTGATCATTTTATTGTTTCTTTTTGGGGAAAACAAAACAAAACAAAACAAAAAAAAAAACAAGCAAATGCATGGGCACACACTCACACACACTCTTACACAAAAGATAGCATGCTATACAGATTATTCTACACCTTATTTTGACATTTTCATGCTTTTAAACAGTTGCATAATTTTCACACAGTGGGTGTACTGAAGTTTTTTTTAGCTATATCCCTCTTGATGGACACATGGGTTATTTTTTATTTTTTGCTTTCATGGTTACGGAGGCTTATCTTAAAGGAGACCTTAGAGTCATTTATATTTAGATTCACTACCTTCCTTAGGAAAATGTTTTATTGCCAACTAGAAAGACACTTATCGTGGGTGTTAGATATTCTTTATCTGTGCTAATGAGTGGACTTTTTTTAAAGATAATATTTGAACCTCTTATATATCTTTATTCTGGTACTATTGCCTTATCTGCTTTCCTGAGATTTCTAATGCTAGTTTTAGAAATCTGAGGAGAATGTCTTATTTTTTTATAATTGTTGAATAAATAAATTTCAGTACCCATTAAGTCAGGTATTATGTTAGGTGCTTTTTTGTGAGATAGTATTTCAGTTTTACAGAGGAGAAAACTGAAATTCAGAAAGGTCAAGTCACTTGTGTAAGGTCATAAAGCTAATGAATGATGGAGTCAAGATTCAAACCCCAGTTTCTAAGCGTTGAAGCCTATATTTTTCTCTTATACCTCACTCTTAGTCATTTCAAATATTCTGTAATCATAGTAGTTATTCTTTGTTTTTCTGAAAGCTTTTTCATTTTTTGAGTCACAAAAAATCTTTTTCCCTGTTTCCTGATTGTCAAAACAGGAAATTCTTTGTAATACATAGTATTAGAGTTTCATTGAGATTGTCATTGTATTTGTTCACTGACCTTCTTGTACCTTGATATTGATGACTTGGGTGTGAGTGATACCTTAGCTGAACAGATGAGTTATTAGTGATCTGATAAGACCTATTCTCTGCTTTAATGCTCTCTATGGTTTTTCTCACTTCTTTCTTGTCCCTAGTTAGTTTTTTTTTTCTCTCATGATTGTTGGAGTAATAGTTCTGCTCCTCTAACCTTCAGCGAAGATGTTGCAGTGGGTCACGCTGCTACTTGGTTGTGAGAATAAGTTTCTACAGTTTTACCATGGGCCCCAACAGACACAGTCTGGATGCTGGGTAATGATGGCAGGATAGTTAACAACCCTAATGAAAGGACTGAAAGAATTAAGAATGGAAAACAATGAGGATGGGCTTAGGGAATTGGGCCTCAAGGTAGACTGGAGAGACACAACAGCATAGGGATTAAAAACATGAACTAACTCCTACTGGCTGAGTTTGAGTCCTGGCTCCACCATATAATAGCTGTAGACCTTGGGCAATTACCCTTTTGGGGTTTCATTATTATATTGGCCATAATAATACCCACCTCACAGAGTTCTTGTGAGGATTAAATGAGATGAGGCATGTAATATACTTGACCCACAGAGATGAAGGACGGGATAAATCTCTCTGAGTGGGGACTCAAGTCCTGCACAAAGAGAGAGGAGGATCCTTGACTGTGTGCAGGAAAGAATTCAAGTGCATGCCAGAGTTAGAGACGAAAGGAAAGTTTATGAGAGAAGGAATAACACTCCACAGACAGAGACATGGTCTCTCAGAGACAAAGAATTAGAGAGACATCGTGAGAGTTCGAGGAATTCAGTTTATATGCCATTTTTAGTTTCCATGAATTACAGTTTAAAGACTTTATTTCCCTATTTTCCTTTGGTGGTATGGGTATGTAGCATGAAAGGCGTGCTAGTAATCTCAACCTTTGTTCTATAGATTCCATATGGTCTAGCCATGGTCTGGCCATAGGGAATGAATGGTTTATTTTGTGTAGGGTATGACTTGAAGACTCTGTTTTCCTTTCATAGTTAGTTAGTAATCCCAGTAGAAATCTTCGTTTGTTCTGTAGGTTTCCTATGGTCTGGCTGCAGCACGTTATAGGCTCTGGTTTAACATTTAGTCGATTTATGTATTTCTCATGCCTCTTCCCTAAATCAGTAGTAACTGTATAACAAATGTTTTCAATATGGAGGGTGACAGGAAAATTACATGGAGCATCTAGATTCCATGCACATGGCATTTGTCTTACTATTAATGTATTTTCTCAATTCTAAGATGGACTTTTTTAAGTTTTAATATTATTGAAATAAAAATGCTTAGGTCAGTGACTACATTTAATGGGTTAGACAAGTTTCTTTTCTTAACAACTGTTATTCATTCAAAAGTGTATCTTCAAATTGAGTAAATGAAGTATTGTTTATGACTTCACATATGATTTACATCCTATGGGTTGGTGTTAGGTAGCTTATTTAATAATACAAATAGCCAGTAACTCACTTTGAATAATTATACATTTGGCTATAAGATCAAAAATGTTTTGATTGATTGTGTAGAGATTTACACAGATGGTAGAATGCATATATTCCTAATGTCATTTATAGGACTTTAAGTTGGTGCACATAGCCTTTTTTTCATTTCTGGTATATCCTGCGAAATACATAATTCTGAAAGATTTCAGGCTGAAGAACACTTGAAATCTTCCTTTCTGAAGTTTTTGAACCTCATATTTTGCAATTTGTTTTCATATTTACCTGTAACTGGTATCTTTGGCACTTAAATTTTGGAATATATTCTTTGTTTAACTTCTTGGGAAAAGTTAATTTTTGGCAGAAATAATGAAACTTTCCCCCTCAAATTTTATAGGTTATTTGGCAGTTTCTTTATTTCTACATGAAAGTCATGAACTGTTGCTTCTCCTTGTGAATACGGTCGTAAAGGTACTGTATTATATGTTGGTTAATACGAAGTCATAAATTATTTCTGCAGGCATCTGACACTTCTCCTCAATCATATTGAATTAGATGTTTTTGGAAGAAGATAGACTAACAGAATGGGCTTGCAGAAAGATCTTTTAGATCAGTTTCTGTATTTGTAAAATGAAGTTAATAATAGAACTTAACCAAGTTGTGAGGGTTAGATGAAACACTGTGTAAAGTAATAGTTGCTCCTGTGGCTGTTATTATTGTTTATCTAAAAAGGCAGAGTTAGAATTATAACTCAGATCTCCAGACTCTTAGTTCAATGCACTTTGCATGCTATTGTGTCTCTCTTTAGGGTCTCTTCTATAGGGATGTATAGATAAAAACCGAATAAAGTCTTTTAAATTATAAAAGTCATTTTAAAGGAGAATAGAGTATAACTGGGCAACTGAAATGTACAAGTGATAAAAACACAGTTTCAACCACACTCACAATATATTTCCTGTTAAACTTTTAATCAAAATTGGCAATGAAGTACAATTGAATTATTGAGCTTTTTCATGTTTATCTTATGTCAGTCTTGATATGTGAGTCTGTGTGTGTGTGTGTGTGTGAATGTGTTTGTTACTTTCTGAATTTTAAGTCGTATACTCTGTTAAGGTTACTAGTAGCTTAAAATCTCAAAAACACTTCCAGTTTCTCTTAGAATGACATATAAACTTTACATATATATATATATATATAAGTATGTATGAATGCATGCATTTTATTGTATATATTTGAGAATTACTTCCTTTTAAACTTCCACTCATAGTATTAACAAGAAAAAACTATAAAATTGGTGTGTTATTAGTTTAGGAAAGTTTTAAAAGCTGTCATAAAGAAGACTACTTTGGCCAGTATTAGAATATAAATACAGTTTCCTTTTGGAGCAGTCGCTTTTTGGTTATATTTATATATTGATTCTATTAAGGCACATGAAACAGATATTTCTATAAAATATGAGGTAAGCCTGAATGTACAAATTAATTAAAAAGTTAGTACAAAACTATTAAGTATATAGGACCATTGCAATATTGAGATTGCTATCTCTAGTTTCAGAATTTGCATTGAATGCTTTCTTTGCTTAATAATTACGTCAGGACTTGCAGAGCACTAACCTGGTAGAAGTATGTATGGCACTTACTGTCGTCAGCCAGATTTTCCCTCGAGAAATGATTCCAGCTGTTCTTCCATTAATAGAAGATAAACTTCAACATTCTAAGTAAGTAAATTCTTTTTGGATAGGTATCCACATTATATAATTCAAAACAAAAATTTATGCTAAAAATTTTATTATAACTAACTTAATGCTTCCAGGGTAGAAGATATTATTCTTTGACTGCCAGATATAATGCAGAAATCCTTGATAGCATCGTCTTTTATCTTTATGTGGATTTAGAAAAATGTAGGCAGCTTCCTAAAGTTAAACTGAAAGACAGGGAGGTGCTTAATGTCAGGAATCCCTGGCTTTCCTCCCACTTCTACCACTAACCAGTAGTGGTCCAGGTTTTCCCTTGGCTTTTTGGGGTTGATTGAAGCTTCTTAATTCTCACAAAGTTGTTTTGAGGATAAGGTGAAATAATGGAAAACATTTGGAAATGATGCAAGTGCTATGAATGCAGAGCTTCAGCGTATTGGAGGTGCTTTTACATCAAAAGTGCAGCATTCAAATTCTATTTTATAGCAGAATATATCCTAATAGACCTTAACTTGTAGTATTTTGTTAATCTTGTCTTGTAAGGTTCCTTACTTTCTCCTTAACACTTGGCTTATTTTTTCACCATACTTGAATTATTTTGTGTTTTGATCACACCCCTTAACTTCATAACCTTTAAAACTAGGAAAAAGTTCACAATTATGTTCCATTTTTCCTTTGCAATTACAGTATTTTAGTTATATGTACATTCTTGATAAAGATTTTTTCTGTGACTTATACAATATTTCTTTATTTCATGTGCTTCTTTAAGTCAGTATTTTTCATGTTTTACGGTTATAAAATGTTGACTTATGACTTATGGTTTGTATTTTTTAAGAAATCTTGAACTATGAATTTTCCAGCTAAAATGATATTTTTCCGAAGAATGATAGAATAACTTCATAGGTTTTTCAGACTTTTTATAATGTTTTGTTTATGTCAAATCTGTGTTTAGAGCAAATGATGGGTATAGACAATTAATTATTAGAAATAAAATATTAGCTTTTCTTAGATAATTATGGCTTGGTCTGATAATAGCAGAGCATATTTTATATAAATTTTCCCTACCACCAGTGTTTTGTGATAATCATACTTATTGACTCTTTATATGAAATTCTTCAGAGAATTTAATTTTTTCCTGTTTGTTTTCCATTTACTCTAATTTCAAATCTTGGCTTCTCCTGTCTTCTACTAGTTAGAGTTTAAAACAGAGTTTTTGAAACTCTGCTTTTGCAATTATGGCCATACCTAACTCCACTCTGTGGACTGTGGACCCAAAGAATGTGAGACAGAACTACTGGTAGGCCAGTAGATGTCACAATGAAGATGTGAGACAGGATTTGGACTTGACTTTGAATCCTTGGCTGTATTCCAGCATGCCAGACCTAGAGCCTGAATCCAGGTCTCTTGATGTCTTGGGTTACTACCACCACCGAGGGCCAGGCCCAGGGATTCCTGAGCTTGCTCAAAGTTTGTGTTCTTTTCTTCACCTTCCTGTTCTCTCCCAGAACTAATATTGGTTAACACTCAATAGCAATACATTAGAGTGTAGTTTTCAGTCACCATAGTATTAATGCTAATGGCAAATATCTTGTTAATCTGAATTTTGCTATGGGAAAAAGATTTTCCATTATGGTATTGTTTTCCTAGGAAGATAGAGAGTTACTAGTTAATGGAATTTAGTAGAAGCTGAATGACCATTTGTAGGTAACAGAAATATATGCTAAGGAACTCTAAAAATAAATACTTCACTTTTGTGACATTTATCGTTGTTTTGAGTGAACACTGCCAGCATAGTTTGCACATATATGTGGAAAAGGAGTGAGAGAATAACAAGAACATACTTCCTTGAAACCTGTATTATGCACACAGGGTAGCAATTTTATTTTTGCTTCTTGTGTGCTGGACATTATTTGTTAAAAATGAGTGTGAGACTTGTATATACTTTCTTCACTGTAACGAATTTTTTGAATTATGAGATGGGTGAGGAGAGGAGTAACATCATTTACTATGAGTCCCCCCTCTTTTCTCCTTTACCCCTAAAATATTTGGACTATGCTTGCTCATAATATAAAAAAAGAAATATGAAAGCCAGAATACCAAGGAGACTTTTAATAAAGAGACTGTTTAATATTATTAGCTGAAATTACCTCTTACTGATGTAAACTTATTATTGATTCTTTTCCCAGTTTCTAGAGATATGGCTTTCAGAAATGGAATTAGGGAATTGAGAAATTTGCTTATCTTCTTTGTTCTGGTTTCAAAAATAATATATGCTTGCTACCAAAAAAATTCCATAACTAAAGAAATATATAACATGAGCAGTTCAAGCCTCTTGAGATCTTACCTCCTTGAGATAACCACTTTTTATAGTTTGGTGGATTAGAATAAAGAAATTAATAATAAATGTATAATTCTTTTTAGTTAAGGTGAAGCTGATATATTGAAATCATCTTTTCAAATTAAATGCCTGACAATTCAGATAGTTGTTTAGATTTCATTTTTTATTTTTAGGGAGATTATACGAAGAAAAGCTGTTTTAGCATTATACAAATTCCATCTCATTGCTCCTAATCAAGTACAGCATATTCATATAAAGTTTCAGAAAGCACTTTGTGACAGAGATGTTGGGGTCATGGCTGCTTCCTTGCACATATACCTTAAGATGATTAAGGTAAGTTGGGAATTTCATCAGGTTTTGAGTAGTTCCTATTAGAAACATAGTTATGGAATTAAAAGAAAACTTAGATTTTTCAAAATGCTTAATATTTCAAGTTTTTATTATTGACTTTTTAATAGTAATTTTTGCAAGTTATTGATAGCATGAGTTGTAGGCACATTACAGAATTAGTCTTTTTTTTAATGTCTAAAATATTTTCGTGTTAGTAAAGAAGCATGGAAAAATGGTGGCTAAGGAAGGCAGTTGAAATTTGGAGATTTGTAGTTTTTCAAGCAGTTACTCTCTTCTGTACAGCGTCATGGAATGCATAACAGCTTATAAAAATGAAGAGAGCCAATGGGGGTTGTATAAGGCATAGACTACATTGTCGAAGCCATACACTGATACTGTGTCACATAAGGAAGGAGGGTTGAATGGTATGGTAAAAAAAATTTCTAAATGGTGATATGGATTTATACTAATTCAACTCCAGTATATTTTCTGAAACCCTTTGTATCTGAAAGTATATGTTTGTGAGAGATTTCATGAGTACCTCACAATGATAGGGAATATGCTCTTGAATTCAGAATAAAATTATAGAACTTGAGATTGTCTTCACTTTTTTTTATCATAAGGTAGCTTTATTACATTCCTTTACCTTCTAAAAAACGATTATAAAAAGGAATACTTCATCTAAGTGTAATACTGTCTTTATGGACATACCACGGTTGGAAAATAAAGTTAAAAGTCATGAATATGTGTGAGGAGACTGAGGACAAAGGCAGGACACCTGTAGTCTATCACACCAAGGCCAATGGGTACCGGGGGAGAGGGGAACACAGGGACAAATGTGGATTTATTTGGGTGTGTGTGTGAGGTGTCAGTGAGCTGCTTCTAGAAGCCTAACATAAACATACTCGCTGGCTCCAGGTCAGGACACACAGGCACACAACCCTCATACTGCTGTCCAAAGCTTCAGCGTCTTCACTTTTCTATATTGGGTGTGTTCCCAATAGTTTGATATAAATAGATATTTGATATTAAATCTTATTTTTCTTCTAACATTTACTAGACTTTGAAAGAGCCATTATTTGCCTTCTAAAAATTTGTCCTTGATGTATAATAAAAATTATAGTGATGAATCGTGTTCATTTTGAGGAATGTGTATTTAATTTCCCCAGTCCAAGTGGTTAGTCAGATAATCAAGGTATACTCATTCAGAAACACACATATGTTTAAATACTATAAGATTAATTATTTTCTAATAGATTCACTGATTTGAAGGATTTGAATGTTTGAGTAGTCTTGGCTGTGCTCTTCCAACCAGAACACGTTTAGCTCATTCACATGAGAAGTCTTTTGCAGACAAAGTTCAGAGATTGCAAACAGGCTTTGGTTTTCATCAGAAGTAGAGATATTATTATTCTTTTTCAGTATGCCAGTTCTTTTTACTTTTTTGATTTAATTGCTAGTGTTGACTATTAAAGGTTCTATATAAGATGTAATTATAAAAAACTTGAAATGTGATTATACCATTTGTGGGGACAAGTAGGGAGTGGTGGAAGCTTTTTGGGGGATGATTCAGCTTTGGATCAGGTAACCAAAGGAGTTTCATCGTGGAAGAAATTAAACAGATGAGAGCACTGTTTCATTAAAAGTGAACATGAAACTTCTAAACGAGCATGTAATAAGTTAGATTCTCTAGCGTTTGAACCAAGTCCATTTTATATTTGGTAAGACATTATTATTAACAGGAAGTTTTTGTTTTATTTATTTATTTTTTTGCATGTAGGAGAATTCATCTGGATATAAAGACTTGACTGGGAGTTTTGTAACAATTTTGAAGCAAGTAGTTGGAGGAAAGCTCCCAGTAGATTTCAATTACCACAGTGTGCCAGCACCATGGTTACAAATTCAGCTCTTGAGAATACTAGGACTTCTAGGAAAAGATGATCAAAGGTAAACTAAGTAAGTTCGATAGCCTTAGGCTTTAGTCATGTACAGCAGTGGTCCCCAACCTTTTTAGCATCATGAGAATCTAATGCCTAATGACTGAGGTGGAGAGGAGGTGGTGATGCTAGTGCTGAAGCTTCACTCCCATGCCACTCACCTGCTGTGCGGCCCAGTTCCTAATAGGCCACCGACTGGTACTGGTCCACAAGCTCTGGGATTGGGGACCCCTGACCTAGAGGTTTCATGATAACCCAGATTCTCTCAATGCTTAATTGGCTTAATAGTGATAAACAAACCACTGTAAGAAGTAGCAGCCATACAAAAATATACAACTTGCCAAATTAGGCCTATGGACTATGGTTTGCTGACCCTTGCTTTAGTTGGATATGAGTGCTTCACCTTCTTAAGTAGTTTGTCTGAATTACTCTTTTAGCCAGTACTTTACATTAAACTTTTTATGGTTATCTTTCCAATTATATATGCATTTTGTAACTTTTTATTTTGCCATAGTTTTTCAAACTTGCAGAAAAGTTCCAAGAATAGTACTCTTATGCCCTTTACCTAGATTCATCAGTTATTTGCATTTGCTTTATCATTCTTTCTCTCTTTTTTTGTATGTGCATGTGTACACACATATTATTTTTATTTACTTTTTTTTCCTAAGCTGTTCGAGAACAAGTCCAACTAGATTTTAGTTTCCTGAGACAAAGAACATGGCTTGAGTCACTGATTTGTTTCTGTCTTAAGAAAATACTTGCTAATCAGTGTTCTTACTTTATGAGATATAATGCTCTTTTATGCAGCAAAATAAATTTATATTCTAATTCTTTTGCCTTGCTTTATGAAAGGATTGTTCTCTAGACTGTTGCTCCTAGTAATGCCTTGTTGGTGTTATTTTAGCATTTCTGCCCACAACCACCTGATGAGCGCTAACTGGGCTGTAGCACTCTTGGTTTTACTATTTTACTTTCTTCTGCATTTATGAATCTCAATCCTGATTGAAACTTAGGCGGAAGTGATGGACCAGACACACATAAAATTTTTGTCTTAATTATATTTTATTTTATATAACCCAACCTATTTTATTGTGAAGCTCTAGTTGGAGTTCGTTGGAATTGTTTTAAAACCACAAGTTTCATGGTGATGCATCCAGATCTTCTTAGTCTAAAAAGATTTAATGCCATCATATGTTATCAGGAAGTAACTTTGGAGGCATTTTGTGAATTTACTAAATTCACTAACTCATTATATTCCTTTCCTTCATGGGAGAATTTGGAGAATATATACAAAATGACTAAGGGTGCTTACCTTCAGAGAGCTCAGTTGAATAGAAATTAGTCACAATTAAAGTGAATGAGACTGGAACTCTTATAATTTTGTTCAACATTAGAATGTTTTCTCCTTTGTTGTTCCAACTCTAATGAGATTTTATTTCTTAAGACATGATTAGCTCAATGTGGCAAAGTAAACATGTTATTTTATAACAGATTCTAATGTATTTAATTGAAAGAATTAATTTACTGGAAAAGTCTTATATTTATGGACTTTTATATCTGAGTATTTTCTAGTGTTTTATAGCATTCTGCTTAGGTTATTAATGTTTAACTTGATCATGTTGGCAAATGTTTCTACATTTCATGTGGTTAATTATATCTCTTATTCCAGACATTGGCTTTTAAAATTAAGAAACTAGACTGTAATCTAAGTGTAGTATTACTGAATTTTTGGGGGGAGGATTTGTAATGTCTACTATATGGTTATTGTCTGTGGAAGAAGTGCTTACACAAAATGAAGGATTTTAGAATTCTCACTGGATATTTATACTTCAGTCGAGATAATAAAAGTACATGCACTTCAAATTGAATTCTATAGCTGCATATTTGGAAAAAAAATTTTCTGAAAAAGATATACATGATATGTAATTCATATAGCTCCAGATTATTTTGATCTTTTGGCTTGTTTACTTTACAGTGTAGTTTCTCTATAAGACTACTGTATATAGTCTATGTTGATGGTAGTTTTTTTCCATTAGTCTTTTTTGACTTTTTAAAACATATAGAAATACCAACTGAGAAGCCATAATTTTCACATTGGCAACTTGGAGAGGACTTTTGTAGGCTTGGAAGATGAGTGCTAGGATTCTGGAAAGCACTGCGTTTTCTTATAGTATCTGCCTCAACCCAGTATTGTAACTGTAATCAGCGATCATAAAGACATAGGACTGTACAAATTTGTTAATTCCACAAAATATTTTTTTATATTTAACATAAATGAAAGTCAAAATTTTCTTTCTGAAGAAACGTGCTGTTTAGAGAAAGGCGAATATTTGAATACTTTAAAAAATTATGTGGTTAAAATAAAGATAATATACTGTCTGGGATAATCTGGATATATGAGGTATTATTGTAGTAACTTGAAACAGGTAGAAAAATTTTATTACAGGGAAAATTATGAAAGATAGTATGTTCAACCAAATAAAAATCTGATTTGTAAACTAGGTACAGGTTGAAGAAAGAGTTGGTTGACTTATGTTTATCTTCATTGACTAGTCAGCTTTGATATATTAGGAAGTTAAGCTCATGGAAAAAAACAAATGGAATCTTTAAGAAGTGATTTTTTTTTTTTTCACTTTTCTGTAGATCCTCAGTTTTAAAGAGAGAAACTGTATGTTTTATTGGGTTATAATACTAAAATTCTACTGCAAATAAAATGTCTTTTAAACAGGACAAGTGAATTAATGTATGATGTTCTTGATGAATCCTTACGAAGAGCCGAGTTAAATCACAATGTCACATATGGTAGGTAACATGTAAATGCTATTCTAATGACTAACAGTATTTTTCAGTATCATAACTAAATCTATGTTAGAATACTAAAATGCTAAAAATTTCAATAGAATTTTATATGTTATATTTTAAGGTGGTTCTTTGGGTTATTATTTTTCAATGGAAGCATTGAAAATAATAGAAATAATTTGAAATTATGGCATCGTTTTAAATATTGACCTAAATTTGTCATTATAGTTCTCTCTTTTTTTAAGACTTTATTTTTTAAGAGAAATTGTCTCTTTTTTTAAAGTATTCATCAACTTAGTAGACCTATTCCATATTTAAGAAGACAGTTCTTAAATAAATCAGTCAACTAGTTGTCAAATATTTATTAGATTTCTGTTATTTATCAGGCCCATGCAAGATGCTTGGAATACAGTTGTGAATAAAACTGTCATTGAGCTCACAGATAAGATAGGTGGAAAAGGATGAGTTGTAAATGCTATAAAGGAAAATTAAAGGATGCTTTGGGAGAATATAGCAGCTAACTTTAGATGAGGGGGAGAGCAAGGAAGGTTTTTATAAAAAAGTGGTATTTAAGAACAAAACTGAAGGATGAGTGGGATATATATATATAAGGATATATAAAATAGACTATTTTCTGAAGAGTTGCTATTTATATATCATTTTATACAACTTATAAAATAATTTAGTGATAGGAGACAAGAATAAGTTGGGGAGGAGAGTGGAGAACTGAGAAAAGTATCTAAAAAATCTTCTAATCTTAGTAGCTAGAAGAAAGAACTATTAGTTCCTTATTGATCAGTCTGAGAAAGCTCAGTGAAGAAATTGGGATATTTAGAGATATTTAAAAGATAGAAGTAAAGCAGTTTGAATTTTGTATGCTATTGAGAAGAGCAGTAGAAGAAGAATTGAGAGATATAACTCAAATGAAAAGTCATTTCTTAATTTGGTGAAGTGCCATGAAGTAGGGGACAAAGAGCATTACTTTTTTCAGATGGTGGTGAACTGTGGATCTTTAAGAACAATGATTGTAGAAGTGTAGGGTAGACTAGAGGCCAGAAATTGAACTAGTTAACTGTAATAAAAGTCCTTGACAAAGATGCAGTGGGAATAAGGAGCAAAGATTGGATGCATAGGTCTAGTACAGGAAAAATAATGCACATGGTAGTGAATTGGGATAGTAAATTTAAAAGAATAGATTTATGTTTTGTATGTATAAATGGTAATTAAAGGCAGTAAGAGTGGTTTATTCATTTGTTCAACCAGTATTTATTGAATGCCTATAAAACAAAAACTTGATTTGTGAACTAGATACAGATCGAGGAAGGAGTTGATTGACTTGTGTATTCCTCCTTGCTAAGTAAGGGAGATGAAAGGATGGATAAGGTAGACACAGGCCCTGCCCTTATGAGTGTATGGTATAATGAACAGTTGATACTATCTAGGCTACTGCTATGTAATGAGAAGAATAAGGGGCCAGAGATAAGGCTGACCCTTATTGAGGCATGTGGTTTGGCTTGGAGCTGTCAGAAGATCCAGTGAAGTGTTACAGTCTTTGCAGGCAGCTAAAATAAGTTAAAACATTTTGTTTGAAAGATAATTAGGGTTTAGGGTAAAAGTTTGAAAGGTTCTCAAGGAATTCTGTTTAAAATTAGCTAAGAGTATGCTTTTTTTCTTACAGAAAGCTTTTTTTTTTTTGGTAATTGACATTTCAGCTTTAATTTTTTTATTTTTTTGAATAGGTAATATATGCACATGGTTCAAAATTCAAAAGGTGCAAAAAGGTATACAGTGAACAGTAAGTGTCCCTTCAATCCTTATCACCTACTACCCAGTTCCTCTTCCTGGAGATAACTACTGTTACCTGTTCCGTTTGATTTGGAGAACACTGTATACCTGATATTTTTTAATGTTCCCCACTAGGACACCCTTCTCTTATTAAGATTGCTGAAACCAACACCAACAATTTGTTTCTTTGTAGGCTCTCAGTTCAGTGTTTCACCTTGCCACAGAAACTTTCTAGTTTCTGTTGTTTTGTTTATTTCTTTTATTCATCTTTCCATTGTTATGCTTTTTACCCCATATTTGTATTGATACAGTTTATAGCTTACATTGATTTTATCAATAGTAGAGTAATCCTAATATAAATATTTTATTGCTTAAGAATGTGAATTTTAAATTATAAGCTTCATAAGGGCAGGAACTGTGTCTGTCTTATGGACCAGCATATCCCAGTATCCGGCACTGCGTTAATCAATGAGTAATATGTTTTAATTGAATTGAAGAAAGAGAAAGTTATTTTACTTTTATCAGTTATCTATCTGATAACTTAATACTTTCTAAACCATATATTTATGAAGGTCCATTATTATAACTTACCTTAGTGTCAAATCAAGAAGTAAATCTCATCAAAGACATTTATTGAGTATATGTTATGTGCCAGGCATGGTATAAAGTGATGTAGAGGATATGAAGAACTATAAAATGTAATCTTTGCCTTCAAGGAATTTATAATATAATGGAAAAGATAACTTACTTATGAATAATACTAGCATAATACTAGTATAAGGTAGAATACAAAGGGGTAGTACAGGTAATAAATATTACAGGAGTTCAGGGATAGTAGAGGTCACTGTGGGTCTGAGGGCACTTAATGATATAATAGGACCCTGAAAGGTAGTAGGATTTAGATAGCCAGAAGGCTGAAAGGGTTTCTAAGAAGAGAGAACATGAGAAAAGGTGCCCAAATGGGGATGTTTAAAACAATTTCAGAGAACATTGACTCACCAGCCTGAATGGACAGTTCATAGTGGGAGCAGTGCAAAGGCCATATTGTGAAAGTCTTCTCATGGCAGCCAAATTATTTTGGGCTTCATACTGTGTAAATCTGGAGGTATGGAAGATTCTTGGGCAGAATACTAAAAAGATGAGAATGACATTTTTAGTAAGCTAGCGAATTGGGAAAATTATATAAAATGGAATATAAGGGACAGAACCATCAGAAGTAGATAGAAGTACCTTTCCCTGTTTTTCCCACTAAGTATACCTCAAAACCCTGGACATTATATGTAAAATAAACATAAGACTCTGAAAGATGAAGAAATGAAAGTAGACTCTTTAGGGACCTTGGGGTGAAAGGAACAACACCGTAGTGAGTACCTGTTTTTTGTTTTTGTTTGTTTGTTTGTTTACCTCATGTACCTCCAACTGGGTACTGGAGAGCCAGCAACTTGGAAATGCCAACAGGTGCAGACAAAAATGCCCCAAGAAAAAGCCTCTCTAGCAGAAGGACCAAGAAGAAAAGGGCAAACTAGCAAGATAGGAAATTTTTAGACAATAATCCCTCCATTACAACTAAGTACACCACAGGAAAAACAATGGATCCACCTACTGCAGCAGAGGCTTAGTAGAGAGCTGAGATTTCCACTCTCTTCTGGTACAGAGAGGTGCCCCAGCCCTCCCACTGGGCTGATGGCAGAGAATCCCAAGAGGGGAGCAGGAATTTGATCCCTGCCAGGTGTTAATGAGGCCCACCTCCCTTGCACTGTCAGTGAACATGATATGGGAAGCCTGGATTTCACATTATCCAGGAGCAGAAAGTAGTGAGGTACCCCTCCCCTTTTTGCTAGGTTGGCATTAGAGGAAGCCTAGTGGAGAGTCCAGGCTTTCGTCACTGGTCAGGGATTCTGAGGCCACCCTCTCACTGTCAGTGGAGGCTACATAGGGAGCAGTAATAAGGTACCCGTTCCTCGCACTGACAGCGTGGTATTAGCAAATACTTGTATCCCTCACCCGGAAGGAACCAGGATCCCCTCCTCTGAAAGTGTCAAAGGAGACAGGGTGGAGAACCTGGACTTCCATCCCCATTGAGCACTATCCCCATCTCCCTGTCAGAATGAAAATAAAGTCTAGTCTGAAGGATAACATATCAGTAGAACTTCAAATTTTGTGCATATTTCAACCCAAAATATCTATGATAAAACCACAGTGTCACAGATGTTAGAATGTTATTAAATTTTTAATTTGGTAATTTTTACTTGGTAGTATTTTGGTTAGGACCTGGGTTGCTCCAGAAGAGTAAATCTCCACATTGTGTTTTTATGTTTAGAAATCCTCAAAAGCACTTTTCTTTTAACCATTGTGGAGAGGAGAAAGCAGAGTGGCTGCTTTTTCATTTATGGACTTATACTCAATTTTTTTGTAGCATTGGAGAATAAAGGCATGTAGCTCTAGGTGGGAAAATAATTTAAAAACCTATTAAATTTATTTTCAGCTCATTTACAATTAAGTTGACTAGTAAGTGCAATATTTGAACAATACTAGCTTTCTAGAAATTTTAGGAGCATCTGTATATAAAAGTTTAGATTTTAGGTGGGTAATGAGAATCTTTTTTAGTAAAAAAATTTGATAGTAGGAAAATTCTGAAATGGCAGGACCATAAGGAAAGCATGTCAATTATGATAGAAAATGGAGCTCATCATTTTAAATCTTGCTTAGGACTGTCACATTAGTTCTAGGGTTTGGCAGACTTTTTGTGAGAAGGGGGCTAGATCATAAATATTTTAGGCCTTGTAAGTCACATAGGTTTCTGTCACATTCTTTTGTTTGTTTGTCTTACAACTTTTAAAAAATATAACTGTAACCTGAAGCTAATATAATGTTACACATAAATTATAATTAAAAAATGTGAAAACCAGTCTTGGTTCACAGGCTTCCAAAAGTAGGCTGAGGGCTAGATTTACTGATAGGTTGCCCACTCCTGTCTTAGTTGATTAGTTACTTGACTAAGATTCTCTTTGTTTAGTTCATAAAGTTGTAAAGTCAACTTTTTTCATAGCACAGAGTAAAGACATTTTACAGTGCAATTTCTGAATATACAGAGTATCTTTTTAGGTTTAATTAACTTTGTAGGTTTTCCTTTAATTAAAGCAGTTCCCTTCTTAATGAGAAATTTATATTTCTAATTTATTTTCTCTTTCTCTCCTATAGAAAGTATTTATATAAAGCTTTTTACACAAAATTTATGTGTACCTCAATTGATAGGCAACTTAGCAGTGTAAAACAGTTGAATATTCAGGATCTATCTTGTACAAAAGAAGTGTCTGATTGTTATATTTTTTAGCTTTTGGAAATAGAGACGGAATGTTTCTATCAAGGACACTTGATATGCTTCAACTTGTAGTAGAACTGTTTTTCAGTCTCCTGATTCTGTGTTTCACTTCCTCATACTATGATTCCATAGGGCATGCTGGACTTAATGGTGCCTCAGTGATTCTTCTTTTCCATGGCAAAGCTCCAGCTCCTTGACACATGCCTTTTAAAAGAGTTAAAAAAAAATTTTAGTGTCCACTTTGATCTATCATAGTTATCAGATCTTTGACTATATGAAAAATTCACATTTGAACACTATCAAGATGTTTAAGAGATTATTCTATATTCTTTGAGGTTAATATTAAAGAAGTGATTTGAGGATTTTTGAGCAGTGGCCCTATTTTGAAATAAATGATTTCTTAAGTATGCAAACATTTTTATTAATATGTACCTTGTTTCAGATTCACAGTATTTTTAGAACTACATGAAATACTCTACTCTCAATAGAAATTTCCAAAAAGCAAAAATGTCCTCCATTCACGTTGAATTCTAAATCTACACTCCCAAATGATTATATTGATATAACCACATTGAAATACACAGTTTCTCTAAGTGGTAGAAACTGCCTAAAAATGAATTATTTTGAAGCATTTGAGGAGTGTTAGAAATATCTATTTATATAGGAACAATAAGTATATTACTTATGTGTCTATTAGAATGTGAGCTCCTTGAAGGCAGTAGTTTTTGTCTGCTTTGTTCACTGCTGTATCCATACTGCTAGAACAATGCCTGGCACATAAGAGGTGTTCAATAAATACTTGTTGCATGAATGAATTGTCATTGTTATCTATTAATATATATAATTCTCTTTAAATTGTACTGTGGTAACATAATCCTAATAACTGTATAAGCCTGAGAACAGTAAAGTTCATATCTTTGAAAATTTTCCATAAAAAGATTTTTGACTAAAACTGACCTTTCGGTTAGTTTGTTTTGTTATGAGTCTACACAGATGTGTTATTTTATTATGCCTTAACATGATCCCTGACATTTTTATATTTTCTTTGTCTAGCTATTTTGTTTGAATGTGTGCATACAGTCTATTCTATTTATCCTAAATCAGAATTACTTGAGAAGGCTGCCAAGTGCATTGGGAAATTTGTTCTATCACCTAAAATAAATCTCAAATATTTAGGTAAGATGATTGGTTCTTTTCACCGAAATTACAAAAAAAGCTTTTGAAATTTGCTGAATATTTGCTTCAAGTCACTTTGTATAATGTAATTTTTGTTTCTAGGACTGAAAGCTCTTACCTATGTTATCCAACAGGATCCTACTCTGGCTCTTCAACACCAGATGACAATAATTGAATGCTTAGACCATCCTGATCCCATTATTAAGAGAGAGGTAAACTGGTATTTTGAATAGTGTATGTGAAATGTTCCAATTTTTAAACATTTTATTGTTATTATAGAGAGAGATTAAAGTGGTAGGCAGAGTAGAGTGTAGGTGCGTGTGCATGCACATACACTTTTTTTTTTTTTAACTTTTGAGAGCATTTTTTTCTTTCTACTAAAGTTTAAGGAACTTTTCTAAAAAGTACTTGTGTCAGTATCCACACGAATGGTTTTAAATTATGAGTTGGAAGAGTTAGGTCCAATTACCTGTATGGATTCATTAATACTTTTTTCGTCCAAGAATTGTGTCAATAGGAGACCTGAATTTTATTGCTGGTTCCTCCTATTAGTTCCATTTTAAAATGTAATACATAATGATTAGTATTTTTTCATTATTCTCTTTAACATCTGTGAAATGGGCTAATGCATTCCCTATCACATATATAGGAATGTTGAAAGAATTAATAAAAATGTCTCTAAAATGATTTGAACTTTTTGGAAGGAGAGATGGGTAATTTACTAAATTTTTTTGACTTTTTCTTTTTGTAAAATTGCTTTAGTATCTACCTGGGTGTCTATTTTTATAAATATTTCTGTTAATTCTTACAAAGAAATCACTCTAGACTTTCATTTAAAATGATATATAGGACCTAGTTAAGAGAGTAGATAGCTTTATTTCTGATTTTTAAAGCCAGCCAAATGGGAGCTTACTGTGGTACTTGTTTTTACTTGAGGCAGTAAGAGGTATATACCTAAGCACTGACAAGCAGCTGTAAAACAGTTAGTTCTTGATACCTGAGGTTTTGAACGTAGGGATTGCTAGGCTTTAAAGCACTTGAGCCACCAACTTTTGTCCATCCATTATAGGCTATTTGCCCTTGGTTGGCCAAATGACTCATGTGCTGTTTTCTGTTGTTTAGGTAGTGTGGAAAATACAGTTTGCAAGACTAGATTTTTATATGCATGTGTGTGTCTGTGTGTGTACACACGCACACACATACAGACAGGCATAAGTAATGTAGGTTTAAGAAGATGATATATTTTTAGAAAATAGATTATAAAAGTTTTAGCTTTTTAGTCTTTACACAGCCTGTCATGTAGAAATGTCAGATTGTAATTATCTCTATCAATAGAAGGCTTTTAGGCTTTGGAATTGATCATAATTCATTTTTTTAACAATAGTTTTACTTAAGTTCTATTTCTTTATTTCTTATTTTGTATCTGAATGTCTTTAATAATCATTTAGTTTTATAAATTTTGAATAATTTCTAGTTTTAATTTTTTTGTGTTTCAGTCAGCATTTGCCATCTTCAGTCAGAGGAATTTTAATCTCTATTTCTTTATTTCTAATAAAGTTACCTTTATTAAGTTCTGTGCATTTCTTGAGCACCTATTAACTGACTTGCCAATAGATTTATGTAAAAGTGGAAGAATCAACCATGTTATGAACATGTTACTATATTTTTCGGTGTTATCATGCATAGTTTTATAATACCGTTTTTATTTTTCTTTCTTAAACAGACTCTGGAACTTCTTTACAGAATTACTAATGCACAGAATGTAACAGTGATTGTCCAGAAAATGCTTGAATATTTACATCAGAGCAAAGAAGAGTATATTATCATCAATTTGGTTGGCAAAATTGCTGAGCTGGCAGAGAAATATCCTTTCTTTGTACCATGAGTCATAAAATATCTTTAGTTACACAGTGATGTAAAAATGATTGGTATAGACATGTTCACTTGCAAGTTGAGTTCAGAGCCCAGCAATAACTTCCATTCCTGATATTCAAGCCTCTCATCAAGAACAGGAATTCCTTTAGACTTCTTAGGGGTTGGCTTTTTTCCTGGTTCTTTTCATACGGTTGGTCAGCATTATAGGGAAGAAGACAGAGGAACATCTGCCTTATTTCTTTCCATCCCTCCTTGTTTTTGACTTCACTTCCTACTCAGCTTCTTTTCTTAGTAAAAGTTCTTGTGGGTGGGAGAATCAGGATACTAAAATTTATCCTTTACACTATTGTTTATATTAAAATTGTCACGGAATAGTTACTAACTCCATTCACATGTTACTTTTTTTCACATTAGTTTTTTAAAAGAGGAACTTTTACAGGTCACAAGGATAATCCATTCTTTTTAAGATGTGTTTTGTTAAAGCTAAGAATGAATGAATGAATAATGTTAATCAGGTTATTTTGGAAATTGCTGAAGTACTAGTCATTACTGTAGCTCTGGCCAGCAGAATGATAGAATTTTAGAACTGAAGAGGAACAGATTAGAAAAGAGAGTAAACAAGTTGTTCAAGTAGACACATCACAACATTTAGCCTCTCTGAAGTGTATATCATGTTTCATTATTTGTCCATAATTTGCTGGAACATTCAGTTATTTCACATTTATTTATTGGATGCCTGTTATGTGCAAGGGGGGGTGCTAGATAAAGCAACATGAAGTTTTTTTATTTTAAGTTTATTAAATAAAGTTTACTGAGCATCTATTTTACTTAAAACTTGAGTACAGAACAATTTGTTGGCAGAGGTTAAATAAAGGTAAAAATGCCAAACCAGGATGAATTTGGGTTATTTTTAAAAGGCTGATGCAGAAAGGATAATTTTAGTAAGTGGCATTTGGAAGTGTACTTGTTCTTAACACTTGTGGACACATATGCTCCTGATAATGCGTGGTTTATTCAGACAATGAATGCTGTCTTTTCAGTGGGAGGAGATGTAATGCATCCTGATATTCCCAATAACTTCCTGAGACTGCTAGCAGAAGGTTATTACATTCTATAAAATAAAGATTTTAAAATTAAATATTTTTATTACAGAGTCCTTAGAGAATTTAGTAGAAATTAAAATGATATATCAATTTCTTTTTAGGTTTTGATGATGAAACAGAAGATCAACAATTAAGACTTTATGCAGTTCAGTCTTACCTCACGTTACTAGATGTGGAAAATGTGTTCTATCCACAGAGATTTCTTCAAGTTATGAGTTGGGTGAGCAAAGTACATTAAATCATAAATGTTTATAACATTTTTTATAAAACCAAATACTAACAATATATTTCCTTCAGTTCTACTTAGTTAACTCTTTCAGCTGTCAATTCTCCCCCCACCCCCCCACCCCCCACTACCACAGTGGCTGCCTTCTATCCCTTTACTGTTTACTTGTCTATTAATTCTTCCTGCCATCTCACTTGTCTATTCTTTTAAATATGGATATTTGTTGAGATCTCTGTCTGTGTCTACAATACATTTGTTGTGTTTTCTATGTGAATCTATATTTGAATGTGTGAATACTCAACATATCTGTGATATAGTTAGTAGTTTCTTATATCTGTGATATAGTTAGGGTTTCTCAAGGTTGCAGTCAAGATGTCAGCTGGGGCTGCTGTTTCATCTGAAGCTTGACTGGTGAAGGATCTACTTCCAAGTTCAGAAATCAGTTTCTTCAGCTATGAAACAGAATTTGAGGTTAAACTGTCAACTGTAGGCTACCCTTAGCTCTTAGAATAGCTCTTAGTTTCTTGCCATCTGGGCCTCTCAACATGGCTGATTGCTTCATCAAAGCCAGCAAGGGAGATCATCTTTTTGTAAGACAAAGGACACAATTTTATGTAATTTAATCATATGTAATCACATACATCCTGTCACCTTTGTATATTCTTGTGCATATGAGTGAGTGTTTCTTTATGGGGGGAGATTTGGAGAAGGGCAACTGCTGGGTCATAGAATATACTCATTTTAATGTTTTATAGTTTTGCCAAATGTTCGTGTGTTAACTTATATTTTACCCAGACTTTTACTTAAGAATTTTAATTTTCTAATCTATAGGAAAGTTGAAAGATTAGTATAATAAATACCCCTATGCTTTTGATCTAGAGTCCCAGGTAATACTTTTAACCACTTTTGCTTTACTGTATCCAACATCTATATCTAGGTCTACTTATATACAGTTTGTTCTACTGAGCTATTTAAAATTGAGTTGTAGACATCATGACACTTCACCCATAAAAAATTCAACGTGAATCTCATAATAATGACATTGTTCTAGGTAATGATAAAGCCATCATAACACTTAAGAAATGTAATGTTAATTCATTAATATTATGTAATAGTTTATATTCAGATTTATCCAGTTGTCCTAAAAATGTCTCTCATGTCTGCTTTTGCACTCCCCCCAATTGCAGATCCAGTCAGGGTTCACAAATAGCACGATCCTCGGTTTTTTTTATTTTACAGTGATTTTTAGTTTCTTGATATTGATATTTTGGATGAATCCTGTTGACTTGTAGATTGTCTAACATTCTGAATTTGATTATTTCGAGTTCAGTTAAACATTTTTAGCAAGAATCCTGCATTGGCAATATTATGTACTTCCCACTGCATCATATCAGGATGCATATAATATCAGTTCTTCCAGTTATTGGTGATTGTAAATTTCTTTGGTTACTATGGTGACCTTTAGATCTCTCCATTGTAAAGGCACCCTTTCTCCTTAGTAATTTATAACTAATATTTGAGATTATTTTGTGAGGCTATGTGAACATCTTTTCCTCAACTCTCTTTTACCAGTGATTTTAGCATCAATAATACTTGCCTAAATTGGTTATTGTATTTGGTGGCCATTTATTTGTTTCTTCCATGAAAGTGACATGTCACTCCACATACTTAAGAGTGTTTTTATTTCTTTCTGCAGCATACAGATCTTGTATGTGTTTTGTTAGATTTATACTTAAGTATTTCATTTTCTTTAGAGAAGTAGTAAATGTATTTTTAATTTTGGTTTATATATGTTTGTTACTAATACTATATACAGATATAATAGATTTTTGTATTTTTATCTTGTACCCTGCAATCTTGCTGAACTCACTTATTAATCTAGGATATTTTTTGTAGATTTCTTGAAACCTTGTTAAGAATTTTTGCATCTCTGTTCATGAGGGATATTGGTCTGTAGTTTTCATTCTTTTCTACTCTATCTGTTTGGTTTTGGTATTAAATTGGCTTCATAAGATGAATTGAGAGTCTTCTTTCCTCTTCTGTTTTCTAGAAAGATTGTGTAGAAGAGTGTTAAGTGTTTGAAAATTTTGCTATTATCTTTCATGTTACTGATTTCTAGTTTGACTTTCTGTATTGATTCGAGAAAATGATCTGTGATTTCAGTTCCTCTTAAATTTGTTGAGGTTTGTTTTATGGCCTATGATATGGTCTATGTTGTTACATGTTTTGTGGATGCTTGAAAAGAATGGATATTCTGCTGTTACTGGGTGGTGTGTTCTATAAATGTTGATATAATTCTTTCGGAAATGGTGTTGAGATTAACCATGTGGCCTTCACTGACACCATGAAGGGGTGGCCTTGTTACTGCTGAACAGTGGTGAAAGTCCTTGCTCCTCTCTAGGATTCCCCTGATACTACCTCAGCAGAAAATGGGTGAGGTACCTCTTTATACCTGGGTGGAAGTGAGGTGCAGGCTTCCTGTTTGGTCTTTATGGGCACTGCAGAGGAGTGGATCTCTACAGCTTGGTGGGGATGAAAGTCCTGCCCTTCCTCTGCACTCGACCTTCTCTGTCATCACCCTTCAGGAGGAATTGTGGTGCTTCTTATAGCCTGGTAGGGGCAGAAGTCTTGGCTGTCCACTCAGCCTTTGCTAGACTGGGTGGGTCTACAGTTTTTCTATGTGGTGCTTGCCTGGAGTAGAAGGGTTATTGTTTAAAAGTTTTCTGTTTTCCTGGCTCTTTGGCTAGAGAGTGGGCTTTTCTTGGGCTTTTTTTTATCTGAGTCCACTGATTTTTTCCAGGTTGTTGGCTCACCAGTACCCAGTCTAGGGTATGTGAGGCAACAGTAACCCACTGTATCATTCTTTAGGTCCCAAGGTCCTTAGTGATATGCTTTCTTTTCTTTAACTTTCAGTGTCTTTTTATGTGTGTTTTATATATAACATCAAGGGTTTTTACATGTACTTAGTGGGAAGAATAGGGGAAAAATACTTCTACTCCATCTTCCTAGAAACATAAAATCTATTGATTTTTGAACTGGGATTTAGGCTATCTGCTCTTCTAGAGCTATCTTCCATTTTTTATTAAACCACTCAAAAAATTATCTCACTGTTTAAAGATAGAACATATTTAATCTTATTTCTTTTTCCTTTTCTTGTTACTAGCTATAAATCTTCCCTTAACTGTCAACTCACGTCCCTCTTTTTTTTCTTGCTAGTGCCAGTAGTACACCAAAGACATGAAAATACTTTATAAATACCACTTAGGAAAGATCTCACCTCCATGAATTATCAGTTTATTAATGATTCTTAGATCAATAGGATTATATATCAACTAAATAAGTTAGATACAAGAAAAAGGATGTAACATAGATTGGTGTTCCTCAAAGTTCAGTGGATCATCTCCATCAGAATCAGCTGATGCTTGTTCAAAATTTATATTGTAGATTATTCCACAGACATACTAAATCAGAATATCTGGAGTTAGAGCCTTGAAATCTGTATTTTAATGAAACACTTCAGGTGACTCTTACACATACTGCATGTGAGAACCACTCATTTAAATGCTTATTGGAAGATAATAACAGAATGTGAAAGTGCTTGTAAAAACCAACAACCAAACCTATAAGTTCAGAAGAAAGCTAACTTGTAAAGGTATCTGCTTTATACATTTTTAATGATAAAAATGTGGAAAAGTTTTTTGTATTGAGTTCCAATTCTTGGTATAATTTTGAACCTAAAAATGTACAATTGTATTTTTATCTAATAATTTCTTCACTATGAGAATATGTTCAATCTAGATTACATTTACTCCAGCAGTAGGCATTTTTGTTTAGATTTCTGAGTATAGTTTGCTGTATAACTTGATATTTGCATATAAACATCTTCTTGTTTTACTTATAGGTGTTAGGGGAGTATTCCTACCTCTTAGATAAGGAAACACCAGAAGAAGTTATAACCAAGCTCTACAAGTTACTTATGAACGACACCACTTCTTCAGAAACAAAAGCCTGGTTAATTGCTGCTGTGACCAAGTTAACCCCCCAAGCACACTCTTCTAGCATTGTTGAGAGTTTAATCCAGGAATTTACCGTGTCTTTGGATACTTGTATGAGACAGCATGCATTTGAATTAAAACATTTGCATGAGAATGTGGAATTTATGAAGAGCTTGCTTCCAGTTAATAAGAGTTGTGAAGACATGGTGGTAAGACATCTGTGTTCCATCTTTTTAAAAACTTTATAGTCTTTAAACAGAATAATCCTTGCATTTGCGATATATCTGGACTATATCAAAATAGAGTTTCTGTAGCACTGAAGATGAAGATTGGAGTTTTTCTCACATTAGTATGAGAGAATTTGAGAGCGTCCTTTCAGTAGTGATCCTAAATAGTCAGGAATAGAAGAATATCTCTTCTAGAGAACTGCAGTAAAGGGATTGATACTCTTTGAAAATCTTTTATATATAATAATTCAAGAATTTTTGTTTTTATCTTTTGAATTTCTCTAATATATTATTTAATTATTACTCTCTTTGAGAATCTAAAAAAAAAAAAATAGTTCTTTGTTTTGTCCATCTACAGTCTAAATTCTTTACCACTTTGGAACCTGACCCACCCACCTTTCTTTCTCTCACCTACTCTCAGCCATTACCCCCTTTAACCCAAAGCACTCATTCTCTATTCAGCCTCTGAATTTGTGCCAGTCTCTCTCTCAGATTGATGTAAATCAGAAAACTTCCAAAAGGAAACAAGATTCGTTCAAAGTTTTATGTGTTAGATTGTCATATGGTTGAGAAAGAGCAGAGGACGGGCAGTATTCCCATTAATTCTGAATCAGATTTTTATGGCTTGTATTCATTTTAAACTTTTATTTGTTAGTTCTTTCAATAGTTCCTCAAAGGCAGAGGACTTCCTCTAACATTTGGTAGGCATTCGAGAGACATTCATTGAAACGATGAATAAACATGCCATACATAGTATTAAATTCGAAGTGACCACACTTTCCCTTTTTTCAATAAAAGATAATGATAACATAGCTTCATCTCTTAAGAATCTTATTGAAACCAAACCTTTCCAAATTCAGAATGTGTTATGCCACTTAAATGTTTGAGAATTACCTGCTGTTCTAAATTATCTGAACTGCTTGCATACACTTGGCTAAATCAGAAGCAAATCTCTGGTTCCTGATGTCATCACTGCTATATCCTCTTGTGTATATCTCATTTTTCTTTCTTTCCTCTTTTTCCTTTTTCTCTTTCCCCTTACTCTTTCTTTATCTCTAATTTCTTTTCATCACTCTCATGTACTTTTCTGTTCTTCCTGAAATGAAGTAATTTTTCATAGATTTGTGAAAAAGCGTTTTCAGGTACAAGGGAATCAGTTAAATCAAAAGAACCTATGTGTATGTTACTTACATGGTAAAAAGGGCTTTGTAGATGTTATTAAGGATTTTGTGATGGAGAGATTATTCTGGATTAATCAAGTAAGCATAATATAACCACAGGGTTCTTTTAAAAGTGAGGCAAGAGGTCACAGGAGAAGACAAAATAACAATAGAAGCAGAAATCAGAATAATGTGGCCATTAACCAAGGTGACCTCTAGAAGCTGGAAGAGACAAGGAATTTATTATTCTCCCCTGGAGCCTCCAGAATGAACTAGCCCCCCGCAACAGGAAACTAATACAGATTATAGCTCCTAGTGTATGTGTCTCCTCTAGTAGATTACAAGTCTCATCAGTGCATTAACTATATCTTCCTTTGTCTCAGTCGTAGCATCTAACATGATGCCCTGATACATTGGATGCTCAAAAATGTATTCTTCAATGCAGTGAAATCAGTAATAACTGCAAATGACTTACATTGTTAGATAATTAGCTGTGTGATTTGTTATAGATGTTTCAGAAATTTAGACAGGTAGCACTTTTGGAATTGAAGTTCTGTTTCACTGAAAAAAATTTTAGCATATATGGACTGAAAGTACTTATGTGAATGTACAATCTACTGTTTAGGGTAAATTTTTTACTTCTGAATTTTTAATACAGGTAGATGCCTCCTTATCTTTTCTGGATGGTTACGTGGCCGAAGAACTCAGTCAGGGGGCAGCACCTTACAAACCTCACCACCAAAGGCAGGAAGAAAAACTTTCTCAGGAAAAAGGTAATTTTTCATGAATTTATAAGCTATATTATAGGGACATCATTTTTTTATGCATGTAAGTAAATAACAGGATATTTACTTTCATTATCCCTCTTTAAATCTTCTTGTGACTTGTTTATACTGAGCAGCAATTTGAAAATCCAAAAATAAAAAGTTAGCCTAAAGGTATTCCCAAAGTCACAGGCTTTCATATACATATGAAGTGCATGAGAGATAACAGCCATCCTGGAATTTTGAAAGACCTTGAAAGTTGAATTATCACTGTGCTAGATGGCTGACAGATACTAGTGTGGGTATATCTGTAAAAAAAGTTTCAGTAGAAAACTCTGGTTACTATGGACTCGTGAGTTTCAGTTGCATTCTGAATAGTTTTATATGTCTTAAGTATGTTAGAATGCTCCCTCCAACAAAATACCTGATCAGTGAAGTTAGGAACAGCTAAGAAAAGAATGAATAGCTGTACATTTAAGAAACATAGCTTGTCAGGGAAAGACTTCTGTCATGATTTTGGTAAGGAGGAAATCTTTGAGATATTTGGATGATGGATAGGAAGTATGTATATGAATAAAGGGAGACCACTGAATATTATATATATAGGGATTCAGAATGTTAATACTGAAAAGTTCAATAATGAAAGATCTCTTTTTTTCTATTCATCGTTTAATGACTTTTGTTGAGTACTTACTATTCTCCAGGCTCTGTGCTAGTCACAACTAAAATGGTTGATCCTAAAATGAGACCAAAAAGTCTAAACACTAATAATAGGCTTGATGTTATTTTTTTGTAGAGTATTTGCTCTTTTAAGGTTTTTAACATATTATTTAGTACAGTGATACCCAATGGCCCAGAAAATTCAGTTTTCTTTCAAAGGGCAATCAGTTTAACTCCTTATATATCGATAGAAAATGTACAGGAAAAAAAATTAAGTTTTGAATTACAATTGCTGGACTTGTGACTATCTTGCATATAGAAGCTTTATGACATCCAGGACATGGAGGGAAAATCTAGAGTTCCAGAGTGACAGATGTGGTCCAATTGTCCTGTTTCCTTATTCTAAAATGTCTGGAGGTCATCAGTTGCTATTACTGTAATTCAGGGATGGGGTAGGGAAGGGGAGATAGGACAAGGAGCCTAATTCCTGGCACTGCCTGTTTTCTTTCTTAAAATAATTTAAGTTGCTGATGTAAATATAGTAGATAACCCTGGAATTCCCCGAGCTAGTGCATTCCTTTGCCAAGTACATCTTTTTTCCCATAGAATATTCATTATAAATGGGGTTAAGCTCTCAAATTAGGCTCTTTTCTTCTCCTCCCAAATCTATTTTTCAAAAGTTCTCTAAAGTAAAAATAAAATTTTATGAGCTTATACTGTCTGTTATGGAAAAAGAGATCAGTTATGAGACAGGACATAGCAAATGCTTAATAAATACTTGAGGAATCAGTTATAAAATTATATATCTTAGAATTGGACTGGCTATAAGACAAAATAAAGGATGGGAAACTGGTATTTTTGGACTAAAAAGTTGTTAATTCTGGAACCCTTCAAGTATCAGTCAGTTCTGATACTGACCTTATTTGAGATTTTTATAAATCATTTGCATAATCACAAAGAGAGATTTTAAAAATAATGCAGATTTTCGAGCCCCGTTTCTATACCTTCTGTATCTAAATCTCTGAAAGCTTGGCGATATGTATAAAAAGGTCTGTGGGTGATTCTACAAAGCCAGCTTGACCCTGGTTATCAAATCAGCATTTTCAAACTGTTGAACTAGTTTGAACCCTTCACTTTCCTAAGAAATTAAGGTCTAGTTCATATATCTAGTTAACACCTACCCTACGTCAAGAACTCAGTTCTCTTGATTACTAATTAGCTCATTTTTTTCTCTTGCATATTGATTCCTCTTCTATATCATTTGTTTAGCTAACAAACAAGCATTTATTTAGTACTCTTTGGATTAGGTGCTGTTTCCTTTGGAGGAGGCAAAATAACATAATAGTTGAGAGTGCAGCTCTGGAACCAGAGTATCTGATTTCTTATCTGGCTCTGTCATTTCTTGTCTTAGTAATCTTGGGTTCAAGTCCATGACAAACTCTTTGCCACAGTTTCTTCATTTGTAAAATGAAGATAATAATTACAGAAGTTCACATTTATATTTTCTAAGATACTTTTTATGATTTGCATTGTAATCCAGTTTAAAAAGATACATATACCAGTAGGGATTAGGCTCAGCTAAATAGCATATTCGAAAACAAACAAAGAGGCGCCTTATCAAGGTAGAAGGTTATTGTTCTTTCCCATTAAAGAAATTCATAAGTAGGCAACCTGGGATTGACGATTGCTTCATGACTATAAAAGAGGAAAGGAGAGAAAAAAGATGTTTTTTCTTCCAGAATTCCTCCCAGAAGTTGCACACAAAACATGTGCATAATTTCATTAGCCAGAACTCAGTCAAATGGCAAAGGAGTCTGGAAATGTCATCTCTTTTTGGGTGTTTATATATCTAGCTAAGAATTGAGGGTTCTATTACTTCAAAAGAAGAAAATAGATATTGGCATCTGCTCTCTACAATAACGATATGAATTTTCATGGCTCCGATTGAATTCATTTGGGTATGCAGACTTGAAGGAATCTGAACCTGAATAAATCTTGTTCTTTGTTAGTAAGGGAGATTTCACATTGAGGGTTCTGTCTGTCAGTTTGGTATAGGAATGTACCCAAGAGCATGTTTTTTATTAGGCAAAAACATGGTCGTCTCTTCATAGCTTAAACACTTTTGCATGAGAACAGCAACTTTTCAGTAGACCTGGTTTATCAATTGTCTTTCCTAACTAAATTCTTTTTTAGCTTCTAAGGGAGGTAAAATTATAAAAAAGAAGAACTATCTTTGGTTAACTAGTAGTATGAAGACTCTAGTAGACATTCAATAAATCATAGCTGCTTTATTATTACTATAAATATTTGATTAGAACATTTCCAAAGTCCTTCCCAGTTAACAAAATTCCACTCACTGGATTCTAGTCTTCAATTATTTTATTTCAGTAGTAAATAATAACTGATAATTTTTCCTTTTAAAAAATAATTTTCTCTTTGTCTTAAATACAAACCTCTGTTATTGTTTTAAAATTCTAGTTCTCAATTTTGAACCGTATGGACTCTCCTTTTCTTCATCTGGCTTCACTGGACGACAGTCTCCTGCTGGCATTTCTCTTGGTTCAGATATATCTGGGAATAGTGCAGAGACAGGGCTGAAAGAGTAAGTTCAATTCCTATTGAAATCAAAAACATGGGAGTCCTTAAATGTAGAAGGATTCCTGAAAGCTAAATTCTACTTGGGCTCTTGTTTCAGTTGTTTCTATTTATTGCTTGCAAAGTGTTGATACTGTTCAGTTGTCCTTATACTTTAAAAGAGCTTGCTTACTTCTAAGACATCATAGGATGTATACAACCTTTACACATAGTAATGATGTGTGTGCTATTACTACATATTATATGTATGTGTGTGTATATATACATATGTTTGTGTGTATATATATACATATATATGTGTGTGTGTGTGTGTGTGTGTGTGTATCTCCTTTCTCAGCCTAAAAGAAGTGTATTAGAACTTAGATACCCAGGTGAATATTCAGCATATCATTCTACATTTCTTGTAATTTACTTCTTATAACCATCTCATTGGAAGAGTGGCAAATATAAACATAAAATAAGGTGATTGACTTCACTTGAGGAAGTTGTATACTTTGCTCAAAATGCTTTCAGAGCTTCTTTCTAGCCACCTTGAAAATTGGTGATACATGTGTCTAATGTTTTACGTAAAGCCAAATCTTCATCCTTTTTAAGTACATTTTGATTTTGGAGATATAAATAAATTACTTTTAGAAATATGATTACATTAATAAAGTGAGAAAATTTATGTAAAGTGCCTCACAACCCAATACATTATAAGTGATTGATATTAATAGTTATCCTCGCCATCATTGTCATCATTATCCAAAACCTGAGTTTATGAAATCAAATTATTAATAGTTGTCCTTGCCGTCGTTGTCATCATTATCCAAAACCTGAGTTTATGAAATAAAGTTAGTGATCAATCTGGATGTCTTTGGCCCATACCTTGTTGAAACATAAAGTAATGAAAATGGCTTTCTTGTTTGTGTAGAAGCTTCTTCTAGAAGAGTTTATGTGTTTTGAGTAATGACAGCATTGTTGGAATAAGTGTGATAAAATCTCAAAGGTGACAACTTTGAAAGATGACTTTTGAATTTCGAGTTCTCATGTTTATTAAGGAATCAGTCACCTTATTTTATGTTCCTCTTTGTATTTGTCAGTCTTCCAGTGATATGGTTATAAATATTTCTCAGAAGAATGATATAGATTATGAGGAATGTAGAATGATATGCTCAATGAAATGGCATAAGTTAAAATTCTCTTTCTTAGCCTTTTTTCTTTCTCTGTTGACACCCCTTTCTTTTTCAGAATTTGATTTTTGTATTCCAAGCTTGAGGAGCAGATACAGTTTGTGGGCATGTGATGGTGGAGTGATAGCAATTAAGTGCCTCAAACAGGGAACAAAGGGATGAGGAAAGGAGAAACAGGAACTCTCTCAATCCAAGGAGGAAACTTAGTCCCTTTGACCTACACAACAGACTACAGTATCTGCTTTTTTGTATTGAACTAGGATCTGGGGGACTTGACAGGGCCTTGTAATTCTATACATATGCATATACTACCCTCAGAGAAATGGCATTTGGCAAAGCTGCTAAGGAATTACAAATATGCTATGTTATCGTAAAATGGAACATGAGGGATGAATTTAAAATTCCTTTCCAAAGAGGACCATAGCTCATACCTTATTTCAGATTAGGAACCTTTGTGGTAATTGGCAAGGTGAATCAGCTTTAGAGAGGAGACAGTAGTGCTTTTGTAGTCTCTGGCAAGCTGAGAATAAAGTAGTAGCCAGCCCAATTTAGAATTTTCTTAACTTAAGCCCTATTATAGACAGCACCCTACCTCAACTGGCAATTCCTAGAGCCGCATTAAAATATATCCCTAATCTTTTGAAGGTTGCTGAGCCAGAATGTACATCTGTGTTTGAATGGTCTGAATAAAAATAATACAAAGGTATACCATATAACACCACAAATTATATTTTTATTGTCCTGTCAAAGGTGGCTCATGTTTAAAACAATTCTTTTACAATATGTTTAATATCATATTTTCTATATGAAATGGCCTTATGCTGCTCTGTTGTTTTCCTACTTTTTAGACTGTCTATATATAATGAGTAACAGAAAATTCATGTTGATAATAGGCATGTTTGCAGATGAAATAAGCCAGAAAATCTTTAAAATAGCTCAAGCCTCCTTTTGGGGTTATTTTTCCTCCCCTTTCCCATTCCTGATGTTGTGGGCTGAGTTCCCTGAGAAGCTCACAGTGTGATAGAATTTAGCATTCAGAATATTAAGGAGTGCCCTTGGAATCAACACTTGTGGAAGGAAGGGGGAAAGAAACAGGTTTGGGCAGAGGTAAGAAGTTGAGATGCCATACAGTACCAATGACAGCCTCTGCTGACCCCATAGGGAGCTTGGAAGCTAGAATGGTCCTTTGGAGTTGTCCTGTGTTTGGCCAGAATCGGTGGCTAGACTCTATATATTCTGTTCATTAGTCAGTGGATGTGGGCTGCCCTAGGACGGGGCATGATCTCCAGTGAGGTTGCCCTCTGCAGCTAAGGCAGTCCCCGAGGGGATTGCACTCCCAACTGAAGGAGCAACAAGTCCTTCATAGAAGTGGGGTCTGGATGGAACACCCCAGTGTCTACCACACCTGTCTTTTTTTGTTAAACTAATATTTGAATCATTTTTAGTAAAACTTGAGGAGTTACTTTTTTTTTTTTTTTTAAATGATATGTTTTGGTAAATAGGGTTATAGAAACATTGTAATCTTGCTGTGAACATTCATGAATCCCTTTGGGTTGCTGCCGTTGAGCATCCTAGAGATGTTGGGGGTCACTTTAGTGGCTCCCAGGACCACTTTTGAATCTGCTCATGTAAAGACAACCAGTTTTCTTCTAAGAGATTGATAGATAATGAACAGTTTTTATTTTTTAAAAAACTTTTTAGAAAACTCTTTTGGTACCTGAAAGAAAGGGAGAAATGAAGACATGTAAAGGAACTTTCCGCAGCAAAATTTTTTGAGGAGGAATGGACTAATTCCCTGTAGGTCATTTTTTAATAACATTCAGATTTTCTTTCAGCCAATTAGTACTTAATAACATTAGTTCTTCACTCAGTATGAAGTATAGCTGCCTGTTTTTGTTTCTGGCTTAGTCCAACAAATTATAAGGGAATGGTAATCAGGAAAAATATTTCTGAGTCTTTCTTTTAGAGTCATTTTATGATCTGCTTATTTTTTAGTACAAATTTTAAAAATGCTATTTTGGACCATGACAAGGATGCTTAAATGAGCCAAGTGCCAAGGACACATAGTTCTTATATGAAAACAAAGAGATAATCTTTGACTTTTTCAGCCTGCACTTATGATTATATTAGTCACTCCATATTCATAGCTGTAACTTTCAGGACAATAGTAGGTGAGCCCAAATTCTGATCACTACTTTAATTCTTCTTCAACCGAGGTCTAAAAGCCTCCTAACCTTCATGCTTTTCCCAGAAATCTTACTTTTTTCTTTTATAAATCGTTTTATTTTTATAAAGGTACATTATAATTGTTGAAACTGTAGCTAGTGTTCATATTAAGAAAACCTTTTGGATTAAAGGCAAGTTTACATATAGGAGTGGATTTCAATCTTTTTTTTGCTTTCAACAGGATTTTATTTAATGAATTTATGTAGAGTTCATTCTTTCATTGAGTGATTATAGTTAAACTTAAAAGGTGTTTTTCTTACTCATCAGACTTAAAGATATTTTTGAAAAGTCAGTGGAGGAAAGGAACTGCTTTATAGTAGTTCTATTTTTGGACAACTTACTTAAACAATTAAATGAAAATTAAATGATCTGAAGTTTTAAACTAAATCTAGAGTTCTGTTATGTTAAATCTTTTGGCTGGAGGGAGGGGGTATGTTGGCTGTAACTAAAATAAAATCTAGAGATCTAGGTTTTACTTCTGGCATATAGAATATAATATAATATGAAAGTTGTTTCTAAAAGACAATGGCAATGATGTGTTTTTTAAAAATGCCTCAAGAAAGTAATTATTCAGCAATTATTTAAATTGACTTGATTTCATTATCAATCTCCAAAGGACAAATAGCTTGAAGCTGGAAGGTATAAAGAAATTGTGGGGGAAAGAGGGCTATCTTCCCAAGAAGGAAAGCAAAACTGGTGATGAAACTGAAGCTCCGCCTGTTTCTCAAGAGAGTATAATGTTGGAGAATGTAGATCAAACCACAGCCAAAAAAGATCAATCTCAAGTCCTCACCCAATCTAAAGAGGAGAAAGAAAAGCAGCTGCTGGCATCATCATTATTTGTGGGGCTAGGATCAGAAAGTACAATCAATTTGGTAAGTAGTCAGTTATATTCCTTGGAGAATTTATATCCCGTTTTGTACAAAAACACTGGCTCTGTAAAAGCTCTTGGTCGTCATTATATACATGGTGGGAGATGGCTTCCTCAGCTCCAGAACTTCTAATGACACACTTTTTATATTCCTGAAAGAGAAAATTTAATTGGCTCAGCTTGAGTCAGGTATTCTCCTTAGTCCAGTCAACTAGGGTAGGATCAGGGTCCAAATAAAGTTACAGATAGGACCATGGGTATTTTCACTCCTGTGGGTGGAGGACAGTTCTCAATGGGAAAGGGGCTTGATGGAAATACTGTTATGATAATAGTTCAACAATAATGATATGTCTATGGAAAAAGTACTTCTTAGAGTGATATTTTTAATAGTGAAAAATAGGAATCAGTTAAGGTGTCTAACAAGAGAATGGTAACATAAATTATATTAGCTCAGAATATTACTCAGCCATTAAAAATGATAAATACTGCATTATAAAATAAAAATACTTTCAACAAGCCCAATCCCATCTGATCTTGGAAGCTAAGCAGGGTCAGGCCTGGTTAGTACTTGGATGGGAGACCACCTAGGAAGACCAGATGCTGTAGACGTAAAAAATAAAAAATAAGGGATTGTTAGATGACAAGGTCCTTGCAATCTGTGAGGTTAACCAAGGGTTGCCTCACCTAAAAAATTTTTAAAAATAAAAATACTTATATTAAAAACAATATAAAATTTTATTTATACCTTGCCTATAACTTAAGAAGATAAAAGTGTTTTGAGACTGAAAAGAATTATATAAAAATGAAAACTATATTCAGTCATTACAACTGTGATGATTTTCAAAAGTTTTTATGCTGATATGTTATTCTCATGGTAAAAGAATGAAAAATTGGAGTGAAGGACAGGTGCTATTTTTGAGCATCCGAGAATTCCATGTCATTTTACATTTTATGGGCTGATGAATCTAAATAGTGAAAAATTGTGATTAGAGCGACATTTTCTTCAGTTTTACATCATTCCAGTTTTTTCAGCCTCCTTTTCCCTTGGCGGAATTTTCCCTCCATCACTGTCAACACTAGGCCAGACTCTAGGCTACAGTCTTTGCCTATATCTCTCTCTTTTCTAGATCCCATTTCTGTCAGACTTGATATTCCCTCCTAAAAAACAAAAAACAAATTCAGCCTAAAAGTATTAATAAGTAATGTATCTTAATGCTTTCTTATTCAACATTTGCGGTCCAACAGCAAAGTGACTAATCTTGGGTCTTTGAGTTGTTCCAGTAGGCTGTGGTAAGGGTACTATTGAATGTTCTGGCTCTGATAGGGCAGTCATCAGTGGTCAAAGTGCACCAGGTGAGATCATCTAGGTCACAGTGCACCCAGGCTTAGGTAGTACTCTGAGTTGTGAGCGTTATTGCTGATGTAGAAGGATTTCTGCCTTCTCAACAAAGTGCATAGATATCAGTTAGAGTCTTCCTCAGGAGAATTAGTCAGGGTGACAAATTAATTTTCAGACTATTTTTTGTGGTGGGCTTGAAATCAGAAATGTAATTAGTATGTTTTTCTGATTAAGTTATGCTAAATCCTTTTCGGGTTACTCCTTATATATTTTTTCACCCTCAGCTATCACTAGAATAGTTTTAAAAAGCAAAAAGGAGTGTTTTATGGGACCCTGAATTCTGTGAGGAACTGTGTTGTAACTCAGATGGCATTATGCAGAGAAGAGGGGAAGCAAATGATTACATAAAATTAGCATGTATCCTCTCATTCCTCAACCCTAACTTTCCTGTCATTAGAGCAGAGCAGATAGGATTGGCACTGGCTGTACATAGATCAAGGCTATATTGATGTATTGCACCTTAACTTTTATTTTTAGGTCTGTGTTCCATTTTTAGTTGATTTTTTTACATAGTTCACTGTAAGGGTCAAGAGTCAAGGTTTGTTTTTCTTTTTTCCCCCTTTGCCTTTTATTTCGCCTTTATTTTTAAAAGACATTTTCTCTAGGTAATGAATTCTAGGTTGACTGTTTCTTTTATTTAAATATTTTAACAAAGATGTCACTCCAGTGTCTTCTGGTGTGTTTAGCTTCTGATTAACTGCACATTAGACAGTGCTGAAGAAAAGATTGTTAACTCGAAGACAAAGTAATAAACTATCCAAATGAAAATCAGAGAAAAAGAAAAGGCAAAACAAAGAAACAGAAAAAAACTGAGAGTGTCAGTGACCTGAGGAATAATATTGGGCAGTCTAATGTACAGTAGTCCCCCCTTATCCACAGGGGTTACATTCCAAGACCCCCAATAGATGCCTGAAACTGTGGATAGTACTGAACCCTATATATACTATGTTTTTTCCTATACATAAATACCTATGATAAAGTTTAGTTTATAAATTCGGCACAGTAAGAGATTAACAATAATAACAAGATAAAACAATTATAACAGTATACGATAATAAAAGTTACATGAATATGGTCTCTCTCTCTGAAAATACCTTATTGTGCTGTACTCACCTTTCTTCTTGTGATGATGCCAGATGAAAAAATGCCAAATCTATTCTTGGATTTGTGGAACCATCCTTTACTTGCAGTAAGTGGCTTAATGTCACTTGCTTCAGGGTATCCATTGCTGAAGTCTTTGTTTAGGGTCAGTTCTTTCTGGCGTAACACATTGCCATAAATCAAAACACGTTTTCTGTTCATGTCTTCCACTCCCAATTTAATACTTTTTCCATCTTAACTAGACATTTATTATACACTGTGGCTGAAACTTTTGCAGTTCGAGTTGTGACAGCAAAACTAGCACGAATTTCTTTTTCCTTCTTCACAGTTTCATGGATAAAGATTCATTCTTAGCAACCTCAGCATACAATTTTTGTCTTTCCTTATTAAGTCAAGAACTTTCACCTTTTCACCTAAAGAATGTACTTAATGGCTTCTCTTTAGCATATTCGAATTGCTAGCATTACTGCTCTTGTGCTTTGGGGCTGTTGTTAAGTAAAATAAGGGTTACTTGAACACAAGCACTGCAGGACAGCCTGACAACTTAGATGGCTACTAAGCAACTAATGGGCGGGTATATACAGCGTGGATATGCTGGACAAAGGGATGATTCATGCCTCGGGATGGACACACACTACTCCAAACACTGTGTAATTTAAAACTTATGAATTGTTTATTTCTGGAATTTTCTGTTTAAAATTTTTGGACGGTAGTTGACTGAGAGTAACCGAAACTGTGGGTAATGGAAACCATGGAAAGCAAAACCACAGATAAGGGGGGACTACTGTATGTCCAGTTCAAGTCCCATGGCTATCGTAGTGGAAGTCCTTCACCCACTCCTCCCTCTTGTTTTTGTGTTAATACAATGTTAATTCTTGTTTGATGACTTCCAAATTGAAATGTAGGAGACAAACTATGCTCTGAGTTAGAAGAGATGTTGGGACTTGAGGGAATAGGAGGATATGAAAAGGAAACGAAAGTTCTGGTTACCTAGAATCATGTGAAGAGTGGCCACATAGTGTTACAACTCCCAGGAGGATGGAGGCATAGACTTAGACTTAGAATAGTGCCAGACTGCTACACTGATTCTAAGTAGAACTTTGTGAAGCAAGAAGTCAGACCATTCCTCAGGAGGTTACCTCAAGGATAACAAATTGACTGTTCCCGTCTCGAGTTTGTAGCAAACATCACTGGTCACTTATGGGATTCTTTCTTGCTGTGTGCTCCAGTTAGCTACTACTACTAGTGATTCTTGAAGTAAAATCAGTTTTTTGTCCATTTATTGACTCAAATTATAATTATTATAGATTACTGAATCAGTTGAGCCATTCCTGTATTTGAGGGTACCTTAGCTTCTGCAAGACAACTCTAGAAACTCAAAAAATGGCTATGTTTTTCACTGTTTTTAATTTGCACAATTCTGTACTCTAGTATTCTGAAATCTAACAAGTTTTTAGAATTGTTCACAATTTACCTTTTAACCTTATTTCTTTTTCTGATTTTATGTGTTTTTAATGAGAAATAAGCTTTAGCTAATAGTTCAAAGTAATGTAGCTGTCAGAATTTCAGAGCTTAACATTTTGTTCATCTCTGATTCTTTTTTTAATCTCTGCTTTATAGATAGAACTTTAGCAAGTTAGTAAAATTGCTCATTTGAAATTATAGAAAAATGTTTGAAATTCATGACTAGAAGAATGATTTCTTTTTATATTATTATGGTGTTTCATTTTTGCAGCTGGGAAAAGCAGATAACGTCTCTCACAAGTTCAAAAGAAAATCAAAAGTCAAGGAAACCAAAACTGAAGAAACAACCAGTGCTTATAATACGACCTGTCCTTCCTTTAGTTCTTTATCAAGTGTGACTTATGAAGATTATTATTTGGATAATTTGCAGGATAGAGGAGACAAAGAATTAAATAAATTTACTCTCAGTTCAGAACTTTTGGATTCTGAATCACTCACTGAACTGCCCTTAGTTGAGAAACTTTCAAATTGCAGGCTATCTAAACCTTCATTGTTTGCGGATAACAACATGGAAGTTTTTCACCCTCCTCAATTCACTGCAGCCTCAGTTGGCAATGAAATCTCTTTAGATTCCTGTTTGTTGGAAGAAACTGCTGAACACATGCATTCAGATCCTATAGATGTCTGTAATGATGAAAACATGTCGGTGTCTTCTTACAAAATTTGGAAAGATGATTGTTTATTGATGGTCTGGTCAGTTTCTAATAAGGGTAGTTCAGAATTGAAAAGTGCTAACTTAGAAATTGCTCCTGCAGAAAATTTCAAGGTAAGACAATGAATGGTTTATTATTTCTGCCTTAAATGCATAGTGCTTATTGTTTCTGCTGTTGGCTCTTCTGATGGTTTATACATTTCTTCCACATTCTTTTTTCCTCTTTAGCAAAAAAGTAAAAGATGTGACAGATTTTTTACTATCTTGAGTAGGGATGAATTATTTAAGAGAGACAAGGAAACATAATAAAGATTGTATTGGAGAGGGCCATAAATATAAAGTGAGGTTTGATAGAACACAGTAGTAAAGAATATAGGCTCTTGACTCAGAGTGCTTGTCTTTGAATCTTGCTTCTGCTGCTTATTAGCTGTGTTATGTGGTCCAATTATATAACTGCCTTGTGCCTTGGTTTCTTCACGTTTAAAGTGAAGATGTTAATAGTGTGTGCCTTTGCTCAGGCATCAATTCTGTTTCTTCCCTAGCTCAAGGAGACTGCTATTGTAATTCCTGGAAATATGCTCATTGCATATTGTGTGGATGTCCTTGGTGGAGTTATAGTGAGATTTGATCAGTGATCCATATTCCATAAAACTGACCCAGTTTCTTCTATGAGCTAGAATGTGTTGAATGGGATATTACCTGGGCCTGATCAGGGCAGAAGTTCCTGACTCTAGATGTGCACTAGAATCACTTGTGGAACTTAAAAAAACAAAACAAAACAAAACCCAGTCCAGTTGCCTGAGCTTTACCACCAGAGCTTGAGTAAGGGTGGAGAATGAGAAGGAAAGATAACCTGTGTGTGTATATATATATATATAAGTATGTGTGTGTGTATATGTATGTATGTATACACACACCCATATACATTTTTTTTTAACTCTCTTAGCTTTAAAATTCTGGTGCTAGCCAGGATTGAGAGCCATAATACTAGAGTTTAATAATATTTTTTGTTCTTAAATTACATAGAGATTTTCATTGTAATGACATTTGTTACATAATTTTGACCTGTTTCTTAATTATCTTTGATAGTGAATTTCTCTCAAGTGAAATTATCAGTCATCTTCAGATTGTGGTTTGTTATTAACATCTCATAATAGTATATTTTTATACCACTTGAATTAAGTAGAAAATTGATATTCATATGATAGTCTATGTTGATTCCTTCTTTTAATACTTTTATTACTTTTATTTACAGATCACCGAGCAACCTGGATGCTGCTTGCCTGTAATAGAAACAGAGAACACCAAAATCTTTCAATATAGTGTGCAGATAGAAAAACCGTTTACAGAAGGGAATCTTTCTGGTTTTATAAATTATCAAATGATGGACACTCATGCTGTTCAGCTTGAATTTTCAGTAAACTTATCACTATTAGATTTCATTAGGTAAATGTTTTCTGGAATGTTAATTTAGGTTATTCATTTATTCAGCAAATATTTATTAGTCCTCTTTTCTGGACAGAAGCACTGTGCTAGGTTCTAGGGTTTACAGCAATTCAAAACTAGACACAGTCCCTACCTTTAGGAAGTGTCCAGTCTAGGGAGGAGACATTGAACAGTCATATAAATGCATATATAATTGTGAATTGTGCTATGAAGAGAAAGTATGTAGTACAATGACTGATTATAGTTATAGGACCTGATTTAGGTTGGGGTTGGTTAGTGATCTTGGAAAACTTCTGAGAGAAACTAATATTAATGTTTAAACTGAAATAACTAAAGATTCTGCATAACTTTTAAAAAAACTTAAAGTTTCTCTGATTTGTGTTTTATTTATTTGGTTAATTCTTTTGTAAAATCTGTTCAGTGAGCTTTAGAGATCTGCAAGAGAATTATTCAACAAATTTATTAAAATTTTATTAGTCATGCAGTAAGTAGCATTATACTAGGCACTGTGCATTGTTACCAAAATAATTGAAAATGATCTCTTAACTCTTCTCTCATTTAGTGTTGTGAATATATTGTACTATATTCAGACATTTTTAAACATGAAAGTTGCCTGAACTAAGAATGCAGAATACCAGTGATTATCTTTAAAATTGTTTTAATTTCCACACATCCACTTGTGTTACACTATTATAATTTTTGCCCACTTTTAAAGTCTTTTAGTAAGAATATGTTTATCAATCTGTCAGAGTATTTATGCCCATATCGCTATATAAGATAGAATCCAGCCTTCGAAAAACTTATTCTTTGACTATGAAGGTGTATCTTATATATACTTAAGAAGCACTATATATAACATGAACAGTTCTTTGTGTATTAATAAAATCCTCTGTATCTTTAAAAACATTTTTCTTAATTATAAAGTCAATACATACTTATTATAGAAATTCAAATCCTGTAGAAGAATTAAGTCAAATGTAAAAGTTCCCTGTAATCTCACCCTGAGATACCCAGTGTTAACTATTTAATCTTCAGTCTCATGAACCATTTAAAAATATATATTTGCTGAAATCCTCTTTTGGTCTATTTTATTTAAGGTCCTTTGTATTTAAGGGTCTTTGTATTCATACTCTTGTATATGACTTTAATAGAGTATCTCATTATCCCCAAATCCAAAATTAACACGAAAGAAAAGTTTTATATTTGAATGATTCATGAAATTAGTTGGTAAAATTTTACTGAAATTACTAATACTCAGGAAAAGAGAGAACTGGGTGATTTATTTGCACTTTAGTAACATCTCTTGCTTTCATTATTTTCAGCAGGTAGGAAGATGATGGTTAGCATCTTAATTATATTTGGTTCAAAAACATAAGTTTTGTCTACGGCCATGCCACCCTAAACAAGCCCGATCTTGTCTGATCTCGGAAGCTAAGCAGGGTCAGGCCTGGTTAGTACTTGGATGGGAGACCACCTAGGAAGACCAAGTTCTGTAGATGTAAAAAATAAAAAATAAGGAATTGTAAGTTGCCAAAGTCCTTGCAATCTGTGAAGTCAACCAAGGGTTGCCTCGCCAAAAAACAAAACAAAACAAGTTTTGTGGGTCCCAGATTTACAATGATTGTTTGAGTCCTATGAGTCATTTGAAATGTATGCTTATTTGTTGAGAATCATTTCTTTTTTTTTGGACATCAGTCTAATTTTTAAAATTATTTTCAGGCCATTAAAAATCTCAACTGAAGACTTCGGCAAACTCTGGTTATCCTTTGCTAATGATGTGAAGCAAAATGTAAAAATATCAGACTCTCAAGCTGCTCTGCCTTCTGCCCTAAAGACCCTGCAACAGAAACTGAGACTTCATGTTGTTGACATCATAGGTTCGTAGAGTTATGAAAAGCAAACCTGTGTTTATAAGGGCTTTCTCACAGTCAGAATACAAATCAGCTCTTGTTAAGTGTCAGATTTCTTAGAGTCGTATTTCCTGTTATGAGTATTTTTCAGATGAGTGACTATTAAAGAATTTTTTTGTGATAAAATATACATAATGAAATTTACCATTTTTCAACCATTTTTAAGTATACAGCTTAATGGCATTAAGTACATTCATGTTGTGCAACTGTCAACACCATCATCTTCGGAACTTTTTCTGCTTCCCTAACAAAACCTATACACATTATACACTAACTGCCCATTCTCCCTTCCACTCCAGCCCCTGGCAACCATCATTCAGTTTTCCTTCTCTATGAATTAGACTACTCTAGGTGACTCATATAAGTAGAATCATACAATATTTGTCCTTTTGTTACTAGCGTATTTCACTTAGCATCAACGTCTTCAAGATTCAACCATGTTGTAGCACATGTCAAAATTTCTTTCCTTTTTAAGCTTGAATACTGTTCCATTGTGTCAATATACCACATTTGTTCATTCATCTGTCGATGGACACTTGGGTGCTTCTACTTTTTGGCTATTCTGAATAATGCTGCTGTGAATATGGATGTGCACATAATCTATGTTTGAGTCCCTATTTTCAGTTCTTTTGGTTATATGCCCAGAGTAGAATTGCTGGATAATTCTATATTTAATTTTTGGAGAAACTCTCCTGTTTTCCACAGCAACTGTACCATTTACATCCCCACCAGCAGTGCACAAGGGTTCCAGTTTCTCCATATCCTTACCATCACTTGTTACTTATTTTGATAATTGCCATCCTAATGGGCATAAAGTAGTATTTCATTTGATTTGATTTGCATTTCCTTAATGATCAGTGATGTCGAATATCTTTTCATGAGCTTATTGGCCATATGTATATCTTCTATGGAGAAATGTCTATTGAAGTTGTTTTGAATTAAAGAAATTTTAAATTTTGTTTTGTTGTAGGCAAAGAAGGGCTGTTGGCCTGTCAGCTGCTCCCATCCATCCCTTGCTTACTGCATTTCCGAGTTCATGGTGATGTATTAGCCCTATGGTTCAGATCCTCCTGTCCTACTCTTCCTGACTATTTATTGTATCAGTGTCAAAAGGTGATGGAGGGATCCTAGCGGAAGCTCTGTTTATATTTTACTCCATCAAAATAAATGGTTTACATAGATAACCTATTTACCAAAGTAAAAAGAACTCATGGTACTTATAATGAAAATGGGGATTATTACAAGTTTTGGTTTTATGTGTGTTCTTTATGATTCCTGATCAAGAAAGATCCCCAAGAAACTGTATCCCTAACCACTTACTCAGGATTGTACAGTATGTTTGGGTCCCATGGAGTGACCTAAGCTAATGTTATAAACTGCTCATGATTTATATATCACTTAGTGTAGAGGGACTGAAAATATTTATTTTGTTATAAGTAATTTTATAGCCGATTTACTCTAGTGCTAGCTGATTTGTAGTAAAGCCAAGTCTGAGTTCTCTGCATTAATGGAGAAGAGACATGGAATTAATAATTCCAAACCTAATTCATATTTGGCTTTGGAATGCAGCATATGCTTTTTGGTAGACAAGTCATTACTTTCCATTATGTTCTGCTTTAATCAGTGTTGAACTAAGTTGGCACAGCACACACTAAGTTCAAGAGATCCATGAGCATGCTAGACATTGGGAGATCCAATTTATGAGATAGTTTCTATTATAAATAACTTGATATACATAATTGCAGATAATTTGGCTACAAAATTTGTCTGTTTTCCACTTGCATCTATTTTTAAAATTAAAAGTGAATCATTGTATTCTTATGTTAAAAACTCAGAGCCATTTACAAAATATCATATAGAAATAAAACCCACAAGAGCACACAGATATAAAAGGACTTTTTAGTTATGGCAGATAACTTAGTTACCACTTTGGTTCTTTTGGCAAGTTAAAATTTGTGCTTAGGGTATAAATGGCAAACCATTTTTCCTGGCCTTTGAATCCACTACAACTCACTGGATGCAACCGAAATGGTGACTTAGTATATCCATTCAGGTTCTTCAGTAAATATATTATTTTCATGTTATAGTTGTGCCTATATGGCCTCTGTTAGAACTATTATCAGCCTAACATGAATGATCTACCAGAATTTGAGATTGTACAGTAATGTTTTTAGTATATGTGCTGCCAAAGCGAGCATGATATGTTAATGTTAAAAACTGAAATTGTATTTTATAAAACCTTACGGTGCTGTGGAATTATTTATTATTTCACTTTTTCTGATACTTCACCGTGGAGACTATTCAGGTAATGTAGTTTTAAGTCATTGCAATTAATACTCTGGTTAATTGGTAGTGTTTATCACCTAGGTGTGGAATTCTGGTTTTAGGTTATCTCAGTAATCATAGCTGATCTGAAAGATGCTAAGGAGATTCCCCAGAGCCAATAGATTTCATTAGTCATTTATGTTTAGTATAATCTTCCCTAAAAACAATATTTTTAAAAATTAATTTTTAAGTTACTCTTTTAAAAAAATGTAATGCCTTATTCATCTCATGCTTTTAAAAACACAGTAAAATCTTGATATAAGAGCAATGAAAAGTGACTAGAACTTCCTGTGTAGGTTTCTCTTTTTAAATAGAAGATGAGAGTCATCCTCAAGCTCCCAGCAGTGTCACAGTGAAGGGAATGTGCTGTCTCTGTGGGTGTTGTGGATGCTGGTGGCTAAACTCATCAGCTTCCTTTTTAATCCTACCTCTTTCAGCAGCACCCCCACCTGATTCTGCTGTTACTCCGACAAAGAGATGGGAAGCGCCCTCTCACTTTGCCAGAGGAATGCAGTGTGTAGCAAAGGAGGTGCTCCCAATATTTCGTGTCCTTACTTCCATGCGTTTACATGGTTACTGAGGCTGGGTTGAGTGTGGAGCACTGGTAAGGTACCCAGCAAGCAGATGGACAGCTATCTGAGAGAGATTATAAGAGCCTACTGCTTTGTTATAGGGATGTTCATTAGTGATAGTAGCATCTGTCATGAGAGACATGCTTGACCTATAGATATGTCTAATGGTGGGAGATGTGTATTGGTAGGTTAGGGCTGGGAGCAGGATTTTTGGGTCTGCCAAAGGGAACATGGCAACACTTTTGTTCTTTCTGAACCCGCTAAATAAAAAATAGAGTAACAGGTTTCTACTGAAATGTTTAGTAGAATGTTTACAATTTTTATATTTTTATGGTTTTAAAAACAACAGTAGTTAAGTTCCATATCAGACATCACCAACTTTTTTTGTATTGTGTGAGACATGACTATAAAATAGGAAGAATGGTTACTATTTGTAGATCATCTCCTTACCTTATAGTCAAAATTTAGTGAAGTGAAGGGGCAACATATAGAATAAAAGCTATGGGGGTGGGGTTACTCCGCTGTGTGAATTCTGTGCCAGGCATCTTTGCTGAGAATGCAGGAGACAGAAAGTGTGAATCTGGGAGAGTAAAGGGAAGACAGGCAGCCTAAAGAGCAAGTGAGGGAAGAAAGATCAGACTCCCATCAGAGCAGCTAGATCAGACTCAGAGGAAAGTAGCCCTGAGTAAGGGTCCTTCTAAAAAAACTCAGATGGAAGCTGAGCAGTTTCTAATTGCTTATGTGCCAAGCATGACAACCACAGCATATGCTCTGCAGAGGAGCATTATTTTAAACAAAATTCTATTAGCTACCAAAACAGTTGTGGTAAAAATGCAGTATTTTATTTTTTCTTTATTTTATGTTGATAATATTTTAAAATATTGAGCTATTTTTCTTAATTTTTATGGATAAATGTGATCTTTGTCTCATGATTGTGAGCCTTTAAAGTGCACTGTACCTATTCACATGTCTTTACGGTATTTTTGGAGGGAAAAATGCAAGTGACCAACAACTTAACAGGCATTAATTACCATTTTGGAGTTGAATTCTGTAATTTTAAAAAATTCAGTTAAACATGTAATAAATACAAAGTGATCTATACTGTTCTTTGGTCTATATTTTTTATCTGAATAGCTGAATAATAAGTTGTACTATTCAGTAATTTGATAAGCATTAGCTAAAAGGAGCAAAAGCAATTGGAATGGATGAAAAGAGTAATTTACTTATTATGGCCCATATGAATCTGGTCTGATTGGTTATTAAAAGTAAAGATACTGCTGTTTTTGTATTATGTTCGGAGAGAACTTTGCGGGCTTCAGACAGGTTAGAGCATGGATTGATCCTCAGGTGCCTGTCCATATCCCCTGCTTTCATCCTAGTCTGACCAGAGCATTCCAGAGTGTTCTCTTTCTATAATGCCCTCTCCTTATAGTTGCCTTGAGATACAAGAAACACAATAAGTCAGATGGAGACTAAGTGACCAATGAATCTGAATCTCCTAGCCATCTCTGTGTTTGTGTATCCTAAAATACAAAGCTAGGTCAGAAATGGCTTTTAAATCTCACTGATTTAATGCCTCTTGTTGACTATGATGTTAGCAGGGAAAAAGTTCTGAGACTCGAAGCCCCATCTTTGGCACTGAAGGTAAAGGAGGTTTAAATGCATTATACTCACTGTAGTAATTGAAAAGAGTGGAGCTTTATTTTAAAAGGAGGGATGGCCTGCCACCAAATGGACCAGTGTTAATGACTATGACAGTTACTTGTTTATGTGTGTGCTTAATGAGAGACTATGAGTTTTTTTATGGTGAGGAACCATCTGTATATTTTTATGTCCCTTTGCCTGGTATGTAATAGGCACTCAGTAATAGGCATTTGGTTTATTGAACTAATGACTGAAGAGTCTTGTCCTCTCAAAGTAAGTAATCTGAAACCAAATAATATCCAGGGATTGATATTAGTAATACTGTGGCTCTCCCAGAAATAAAGTGATGTGATCTGATCTGGTTCTTAGATATAAGACAGTGGAAAAGGGTTCCAATGAAAATAGCTTGTGCCGATTTGTACTTGATGCGAAAGAGGAAACATGATTGCTTGATGAGATCATTACCAGCCTGAACACAAAGTCCTGTAAGAATTCGTCATGCCATTTAAGAGATATCTCTGCAAATGCAGTGTGATCATGGATAGAAGTTACAACTTGGAGAAGGGGACTTTTCTAAATTATGACAGATGTCCATAAAGTTTTACCGATCTAGAAGAACTTGTGCTAGGACAAAAAGCAATAGACATTTCATCAGTAGAGCTAAAGATAGGGAGCTAATAATGTAAGGTATATTTACCAGCCAAATTAGCATCACCTATTTCTTTAGAAAACTAAGCACTATGATAATGGGAGAGGGGACTATGTTAACATTAATAAGATCAATAGTGTCAGGAAAGTTGGGAAAGAACAGGCTCTCTGGGATAAAGCAGCAGGAAAAAGAGTTACTTGAAAGGAAATGTGTTTCATTTGCATCACACAGGAAACTTTATAGGTAGGTGCATGGATCCCAGAGGATCTCGAAGACTTAAAGATTGTGGCCTGGATACAGAGAAGATGGGCCTGGGTGTGGGGAAAGTATAGATGATGTCAAGCACCATGAATTTCTTGGAGCACCTGTAATGCTGAAAAAATAGTGGGTCTTTTTAAGTGGTTGCAGCTTGATTATGGGCCTTGTGGGCTTTGTTCCAAGGGAAGGAATCAATTTCCTTTAGTTATTTTAAACTATTTTCCTAAGTGGATGAGTACTTTTCCTTCCCCCAAACATTAAATTGCCAGTGTCACTAAATGGCTGACCTCAGGAAGTTTTTCCCTAATGGGGTCTGGCAAGACATGTGCCAGCTGGATAGAGACTAAAGCCCAGAGATTATTTGTATTTCAGTGAGAGAAAAGTAATGAGAAATCTGTTTAATTGTACATCTCCTTCACCACTTATATTATGTGACAAGTAGGAACAGAGGCAAGGCATATATATTCTCAGAGAGGCATTTGGTGTGAATTGCTACCACAATATTTAATGAAGGTAAGGGCAAAGCGAGTGATTGGAACAAGTTGGTCCCAATTGATGATAGATATCAAGGTATAGGAATTTATTTCTTCATTTTAATTATTAATGGTTGTGGGGTTAAATAGAATAATTGTAAGCTATGGAAAAGATAAAATGATTCGAACCCAAATATTGGACAAATCTTTATCTATAGAAGTGATAGGAATATCTTTTGTTTTTCATAAGGAGACTCTTCGAGCACATTTGCGTTTATGCTAATGAGGTGACAGAGTGAGGCCCCTACCTAGCCTCAGAATGGGGTTGGTCACAAGAAAGACCAAATGATTAAAGAGTCGGAATTTCATCCCCACCCACTGACCTCAGGGAAAGGGATCATTTAGGGGCTGGAGGTGTTAAGCTCGATAAAAACTCTTGAACAATGGGATAGGATGAGCTTCCATGTTGGTGAAGGCATCCACATCCTGGGAGGGTGATGCACCCCAGTTCCATGGGAACAGAAGTTCCTGTACTCGGGACCCTTCTGTTCTTCACCCTGTGTACTTTTTCATCTGGCTGTTTATCTGTATCCTTTATAACAGGCGTCCCCAGTGCCTGGTACTGGTCTGTGGCCGGTTAGAAACCAAGCCTCACAGCAGAAGGTGAGCAGTGGGTAATGTATTTGCAGCTACTCCCCAGTGCTAGCATCACCACCTCAGCTCCACCTCAGATCATCAAGCATTAGATTCTCATAGGAACACCAGTCTCTGGTGCCAAAAAGCCTGAGGACTGCTGCTTTATAATAGCCTTTATAATAAACTGGTAAATGTTAAGTGAATGTTTGTTTGAATTCTGTGAGCCACTGTAGCAAATTCATTGAATCTGAGAAGGGGGTCATGGGACCCTCTAATTTATAGCCAGTTGGTCAGAAGCACAGGTGACAACTTATGATTGACATCCGAAGTGGGAGTAGTCTTGTGCAACTGAGCCTTTAACTTGTAAGATTTGATGCTCTCTCTGGGTAGATAGTATCAGAATTGAGTTTATTTGTAGGACACCTTGTGTATGTCTGCTGAGAACTAGAGAATTTCTTGGTGGTGTGGGAAAAAAGCATCAATTAATAAAAATGGTTTATATTCAAGTTGTACAATGTTATTTTTTAAAGATGTATAACATGATGATTTAATATACATATACATTGTGAAATAGTTAACCACACTCAAGTTAATTAACACATCCATCACCTTATAGTTACTTTTTCTGTATTGTAAGAACATTTTAGGTCTTAGCAAATTTTAAGTATATATTATATATTACTATTATATATTAGTGTTATCAGCATGCTTTTCATTTGACTGGGGACCTTTATAAAATCCCAGACAAATAAATCAGAATCTCTGAGGGGTTGGACCCAGGCTTCAATAAATTTAAACTCCACAGGTAATTACAATGCACAGCCAAGTTTGAGAACTACTGTTTTAGATGCTGTCTCACCCCACTATTCTTCAGTGGGATTGTTTGTGATTGTGTTTTCCCCCATACTCCTTCCTGCAATTGAGATCGATTAAAAGTAGTTAGCTATTGAGTGTTTGGGAGGTAAGTAAAGGCATATTTGGAAAGATATGGTGGTGGTGGGGGGGCGGTTCTCGTGTGAGTATATAAAAAGTTGCTGGTCCTGGGGAGATCATGGGATTAGCAGCTTAGTGTTTGAATTTCCCTGAATGTCCACGTAAAAATGGGCATAGAAACTAGATAGCAAAACCAAAAGCCCACATACAATTTTTGCAACAAAACTAAGTGACAGGGTAACCATGTGAGCCCCAAAATACAGCAGGTGGAGACAGGTCACAGCAGTCAAAATATGTGCATGTTATTTACATCTCTGCAGAAGGAAGCAAAGGGAAGCAACAGTCATCTAAAACACCTGAGAACAGGACAACTCCAAAAGAGCCAACAGGTCTCTGGAAAGCACAGTTGGTCAATTTGAGATTAGCATCTGAAAGTGGACAGGGTTTTGCACAGTTTACAGGGAATGAATGCAAGGCACACTAAGATCTAAAGCATTCTAGCCCCTATGAACTCTTGAAACCGACTAGTTATGGTTCCCTTCTAGAATAAGGCAATATACTGTGGAGAAACTGCTTGGTGAGGTGTCAGAATTGAGCAGGATATATAGCCTCTGATGTCAGATTGTCAAATTTTGATTTCTGGTTCCACTTATTACTTATTTGTGTTTTTGGGCAAATTACGTAAACACTCTGTGCCTCAGTTTCCCATTTGTATAATGGGGATAATAATAATACTTATTTTATAGGATTGTTGTGAAATAAGATAATGAACATGGTGGTCCATGTGATTATGATTTATCAATTTTATATATCAGTTTTTTAACATCATTATGAGAAAAGGGAAAAAGAAAAAAGGGCAATAAAGATGAAGGAAAGAAAAAGTCCAGACAAAAGTGGGGAAGTTTAGCAGAAAACATCAGAAAACAAGTTGTCATAAAAAAAATAAAAATAAAAAATAAAAAATAAACAGAAAAAAAACTTTGTGAAGTTAGAAGAGTTGTTCTCAATCATGCCTCCTCAGAATTTAGGAGAAGTAATTTTATAGAAATATAAGCAACAGAAAGGTACCATGGTCAAATCCCATATAAACTGCTTGGGAGATAGAGAAAGGGGGGGAGAGAGAGAGAGAGAGAGAAAGAATAAATGACAATATATTGAGTAGAGTAATATCTTTACAGAAAATAAAAGCACACTATTTTAACATGCTCATAAAATAGATCAAAACTATTTCAAAACAAACAATGAAATTAAGAAAATGATTCAAATGTGAAAGAACAACATATATTAAAGCAATGTAAACTCAAAAAATAAAGTGACAGGA